TAACGACGTTAAACGTGTGCCATGATTAATTGACAATTGCTGCCATCTATTGGAAACCAAACAAAAAATAAAATAATGTGCCATTTCAACTAAAGCCGCTAGATGGCCATTTCCACACAGCTATCGATACACCCTATCATTTAGAAATTAGAATATGAGGGAAAAAATAAAATCCCATTAAAATAAAAAAAAATACATTGGAATACAGTATTTTATGCACAACAGGAAGATAAAAAGCACATGTGTGTGTAAGTGCGATTTAGTTCTCGTATGCAATAAGATGATTGAGATCGCTTGTGTAATCTGTGCATATCCGCAATGAAAAAGACATTTCTCATTATGAGTAACAGTTAGAATTCGTGAAAATCTTATGCAATGATTGCTGTCATCGAATCAAAAGCATTTAAAAAGAAAATAATATGCAGTTTCCATACAGTAGCCTAAAAAAAAAGGCAATTTCAGCATTGGCACGTGCCATTTCCAACATATCTCTTAAATCTCTTTACACAAGTTTTCTATTTGCATATTAACCGCGGTCATACCGCAATTAGAAAAATGTCGCTACTAAATATATAATTTAAATATTTCTCCTTTGCAATAAATGTCAATTAAACATATTTATACATCGTTCATTTCAAAAGGTAAATGTTGTGTAATACCATTAATGTGCGGTTGATCACGGAAACCCATTCTAAAAATAATAATTTTTAAAAACCCTCAGAAAACAGAAGAATACAGCATTGAAAAATAATGATTGTTGAGGAAAATCAAACGAGCAATTCTGTGTGTGTTCTTTATTAGATTACAGGACATCTGCAAAAGCAATCACATCCTGCTAGGCTGATCCAAATAGGCTACATCATTCTACATGATTGTTTTTGAATTGCCAAACTAAAGTTATTAATTTAGGAGGAATCAAAAAGTTCCAAACATATAATCATGTTAAGGGTTACACAAAAAAGGAAATAAATGTAAACGTCACAATATTTAATTTGCTCTGTAATACACTGAAAAAATGTCAGTTCAACTTAGCGGTAACGTCTAATAACTGGTTTTGTTGAAATGAATAAATGTTGTAAGATTACTAATTATAACTGAACTCAGAGTGGGACCAAAAAATCTACCGGGAAATTTCGTAGAGCACCGGCCCTAGTCGCCGGCAGTTCAGGGGCCCGGGCCCCTGGGCACGATGTCCCTTCTTAGGCAGGCCAAATGTATATTTTTTCCATTTTTTTTAACGGAACATTGTTGTACTTGCTGGAGTAAAGTTCATGGTCGTTCTTTCCCATAGGAATTTGTAAAACTATGTTGGGTGGACCTCTGTGGGGTTCGGGGGCATGCTCCCCCGCAAGAACATGTTGTACATTTAAAGGTTAAATGCATCAATCTCGTGCTCTCTGAGAGATCAAAATTAAGAGCTTCAACCCATGGAACTGCTCCTTGAACAAAGAGAAACCATTGATTTGTACCAGGACAATAAAGTCAAACATCTTTTTAGTTATGAGAGTCTCAGTCTGCATTACATTATCAATGGTGTTTTAATGTCAAACAATTATTATAATAATGTAATGTTTTATAATCATTTCTATGACATTAAATCCATATAGCCTATAGGCCTAAATGTGGCCTAAAAGTATATTTTAGCCATTACACTATAATATAGGAAAATTAAAATACTTTTGTCCTAATTTCTTCACTTGCAAGAAATAAACCCTTTTCCAAGCTTTTATTTAGGAGAAAACACCAGATAAGCATGCTGATCACATGAGCAAAGTGCACACTTTTCTATGAATCACCCAGCACAAACAGGACGCCTATTCTTAAAGTCTTGCGCTGTTTTATAAAGACACAAAGCTATATCGTGGTTTTGATTTTAGTTCGTTGGCAAAATATTACACTTTAGACCTTTATGTTAGGTTATACATTTTACATCTCATGTGTGTTGGAAAAAAGGGAGAAGAAAGAGTTCGGCAAAAGACGTCCGGATTCGAACTCGGGTCAAGCGCATCATTCCAGCACTTCACGCCCTACGACCTATGCCACTGTAGGTACACCTTGATGAAAATCTATTTATAATAAAGACAGGCAAATATACGCTCCGTTATCGAAAATGTAAAAAAATAAAAAAATAAAAAATGTTTTTCTTCCCCTCGCTTGGGCGCATGCCGAACTTGCAATGTATAAATTTGATCAGACCGGCCCTCGCGGCCTCGAAACACTACTGGCCCACCGGGAAACCTCCCGACTCTCCCGATTGCCACTCAGCTAGGTTCCTGAACTCAACCAACCTGAAAAACAAGGTGTTACTGAAGCACAACTGTCATAACATATAATATGATTTCTCCAGCTCATAACATTACCTTTAATATCATTTTTTCTTATATGATGGAAACCTTATTTTCCCCACAATTAATTTAGTTTATTCAATAATAATTCAGTTTAGTTGGGATAACAGTGTTTGTTCTTCAGCACAACATTCAATAACAGAAACAAATCTAAATGTCCAACTGAACATTAAACATTAAACATTAAAAATGAAATTAGTGCTATTTGCTATGCCTTTTATTGGATTCCTGCTGTACACAGAAGAACTTCCAACACGAGAAGAAAGCAATTTAATTCATGATGATAGCATGAAAAATGTGCCATTTAGGGGGAGGTTGCTGCCATCTGTTGGAAACCAAACACAGTGAAAGCCAAATGAAATTTCAATATAGCCACTAGATGGTCTGCATTACAGTTTTTTTTTTTTTTTACAATCACTTAGTTATTTTCAGAACCATGATGTCATTTTTCACAACTCTAGACACAAAACTCACAACCAAAGATCAAAATACACATTTTTCAAAACTTTAACCCATTTCTCCATTGCTTGGATACAATACAATACAGTTTTTTTAAGACAGTGGAGCACAACTGGAGCTACATGTGCAAAACTCTAACAACAGTCTGCAGCAGTTTATGTGGACAAAACTCTAGTTTGTTTTTCATAGCTTGAACACAGTTTTCAAAACTCCACATTCTTATACCACGACTACGATACCACGAAATGTACAAACAAAACTGTAGAGAAATAAACAAAATAAACTGCAGTGCAAAACAATCTACTGTAAAAACAATCTAAGATACTGTCTATTGTTTAAGGGCAGACCTGACATATAAAATAATGCAGTTTCTGTAATTCCATCTCATGTTAGTGTTTTTTGTGACATTGTGCTATGATTGACTAAATGTCCCTGTTGGAAGAGAACATGTGTTAGTGTTTTGGTAGACCTAGTGTATTGTTTTAGGATTATTGTTTTTTGAAAATTAGTGTTGGAGTTTAGTTTACAGTGTGTGATTTTGAGCATGATGGATGGAACCGTTGTAGGTGTGTTAAGAGTTTAGAAAATTTGTTAAAAGTATTGAAAAAATTTTGTCATAGCGATTGTAAAAAAACTGTAACAGCAGGTGTTCATCACTAATTCTCAATCAGAACTCAATAGTATTTACAGTTTTTCTCGATTGTTTACACACACATTTTCTGAAAGAATGCCTCATTTTCTCAGAACTCTACACACAAATCTAAAAACACTCACACAATTGGCAAAACCCCGCAATTCTCCTGCAAAATGAAACTTTACATTCAAAACAATGTTATTTCTTCTCAAAATGGTATTTTGTTTTCAAATGACACACACAAACCATCATATGAATAGAAATTTATAAGAACCAGTTGAACACTGATGTGCTCAAAGTAAAACACTACGATCAATGGAAAACACTTCTTCTCCATTCATCATAATGACTTAGGCCTTTTTTGTTCAGTGTTACACTTTCTACAGACATTACATACATAAGTGTGTTGTAAAATATTTGAGAATATTGTTTTTATACCCAGAACACACAACAAATACAGTATATTTTATTTTTTCCCACAAAATCAATGGGAGATAGATCCCACATTTTGCACACCCCAACCAACACAAAGTTGCACATACAGTGGTCTACATACAAAACAACAGAATTTTTTATGCTGTTACAGTAAAAAAAATAAAAAAATATCTATGCTATTATCTATGGTATTTTATGCTAAAGCTCTGATTGCTAATTGTAAAACTGTGTGACGGCGGGTGTTTGCCCATGTGACGAGTCAGTGTGCATGGCAGTGTGTTCCTCACGAAAACAAGAGATTTTCTGCATGAAAATTGTGCCAAATGCAGAGAATTTGTGTGTAGTGTTTTGAAAAAAGTGTGTTTTAGAACTGTAATTTGAGTGTAAAGCAGGAATTGTGCTTCTAGTTCAGCAGAATTGGTTCAGGGGGTTGGTGAATGAGTTACATGTTGTGGTCATTGTGTCTCAAGTACCAGAAAATGTGTGCAAACAATCGAGAAAAACTGTAATATCTAATAGTATTGTACTATTTAATAGTAGTTAATATCTCATTAACTTTAACACTGTGAGTGTGGATTATATAAACAGAGAGTATAATTTAACACTAGGAACCCAATGCTGTTTACAAGTATCCATCTCTTGTGACTGTTTTAAGGACAGTGGCTCAGGGGGAAACACGGTCGGCTCACAGCGAGAAGGTTTTGGTTCAAGTCCCAGCTGAGCCAGAACGTCTATACTCTTTTATCTGGTTTACCTCGCACCAAAATGTGTGAACTGCATTAAATTGCATAAAAGGTGTGCCTGTCGATGGATCCATGACTGAGTATCTTGGTATCACTGAGCTAAAATCAGGGTAGAACACGGCATTTCTAAATTATGAGCTTTTTTATATGTACAAAAATATAGAAAGGCTCAAATGAACAGCCAACCACCCATTTATGAAAAATTCCCACAATCCTGCACATGACAAGTGAGGTTTGGAGAATAGATGGATGTTGATTATAATTAAATCTATTTCTGCTTATGTTTTTACCATATTCTCCTCAAATATTGTTTGAGGACATTGCACAAGAAATGTAGGGTTAGGAAGAGTAACAGCTAGAAACCGAAGAGAAGAAACCATAACCTTAGACAAGCAGCTTTTAATATTAAACTGTCAGGACGAGACAGGAGAACATGTGACGATGATCCGACCCAAATATTACATAACTTTATTCAAACCCATGTTTATCATAGAAAAAGACAAACAAACACAGTTTTGCACACAGCATTGTTCCAGCATATGTGTTGGTACACAGACACATTGTTTTCAGAAGAGAACAAGATAAAGTGCAAAACAAAAGGACATAAGAGCATCCGGTCCTGGGCTCATGCGTGCAGTTTACATCTCAAATGAGTTCACATCCTTAAATCAGTCTATGTAAGTAAACAAAAAAAGAAGGAATGGTAATTAGCAACTTCCCAAACATGGAAGAAAAAAGTTACAGCACAAGTTTATCAATGGATTCATGATTGTTTTGAACTTTGAAAGATTTTAAGGAAGTACATCACAACTTATTACAAACCAAAGGTTACTTAGACAGAGCGAATAAAATGACAGTTCACAGAGCTGTATATGAAAGAGTAAATAAATATACAGCAGAACACTGAACCTCATACACTGTAACTCAGGTGCATAAAAGGCACAGTTTTGGAAAGTCTGTAATAAGTATGGCATTTGTAAATGAAACCGAATCTTTCCCTGATACCAGTGATTTAGGTAAGACAACAGGAGCTCTTCATCTTTGGTGTCGTTCTTGTCTGACTTGGACCGAGAACTTCCACGTGTCGGTGTACTGCGAGAGCAGGATCTCTTCAGGGAAGAACTCGTCCACCTCAGGAGGAACGTCCAGATCTTTGCGCTCCATGTAGGACACAACCGTGTCTTTCAGACTGCAGACACACACACACAACACAGAGTTACAGATTTACATCAGTTCAGCAAGAGCTTTAGATCACAACTTAACCAGGTTTATATGAATTAACCAGGTAGAATATGAATATTTCCCCATATTCCCCACCAAACTATATGTTATTTAGTAATTTAGAGCTGCAGTTCCTCTTTGTCGCTTTGTCTTTGTCGAAATCTGCAATTGCTGTTATTTGCGGAATTATCAACTGTAAGCGAGTTGTATTTCGACACCCACGGCACAGCGTGGATGAACACAATGTTTGAGGAGAGTGTGCAGCTGTCAATCACATAAAGAAGAGTCTCGGGTAGTAGACTAGCTGAGACTCTTCTTTATGTGTATAGATGTTGCGTAATGACTCAATATAGTAGACTAGCCGAGACTCTTCTTTATGTGTATAGATGTTGCGTAATGACTCAATATAGTAGACTAGCCGAGACTCTTCTTTATGTGTACAGATGTGACGTAATGACTCAATATAGTCTACTAGCCGAGACTCTTCTTTATGTGTACAGATGTGACGTAACGACTCAATATAGCCTACTAGCCGAGACTCTTCTTTATGTGTACAGATGTGGCGTAATGACTCAATATAGCCTACTAGCCGAGACTCTTCTTTATGTGTACAGATGTGGCGTAATGACTCAATATAGTCTACTAGCCGAGACTCTTCTTTATGTGTACAGATGTGACGTAATGACTCAATATAGCCTACTAGCCGAGACTCTTCTTTATGTGTACAGATGTGACGTAATGACTCAATATAGTCTACTAGCCGAGACTCTTCTTTATGTGTCCAGATGTGACGTAATGACTCAATATAGTCTACTAGCCGAGACTCTTCTTTATGTGTACAGATGTGACGTAATGACTCAATATAGTCTACTTGCCGAGACTCTTCTTTATGTGTACAGATGTGACGTAATGACTCAATATAGTCTACTAGCCGAGACTCTTCTTTATGTGTACAGATGTGACGTAATGACTCAATATAGCCTACTAGCCGAGACTCTTCTTTATGTGTACAGATGTGGCGTAATGACTCAATATAGCCTACTAGCCGAGACTCTTCTTTATGTGTACAGATGTGACGTAATGACTCAATATAGCCTACTAGCCGAGACTCTTCTTTATGTGTACAGATGTGGCGTAATGACTCAATATAGCCTCCTAGCCGAGACTCTTCTTTATGTGTACAGATGTGGCGTAATGACTCAATATAGCCTACTAGCCGAGACTCTTCTTTATGTGTACAGATGTGGCGTAATGACTCAATATAGTCTACTAGCCGAGACTCTTCTTTATGTGTACAGATGTGACGTAATGACTCAATATAGTCTACTAGCCGAGACTCTTCTTTACATGTACAGATGTGACATAATGACTCAATATAGCCTCCTAGCCGAGACTCTTCTTTATGTGTGCAGATGTGGCGTAATGACTCAATATAGTCTACTATAGTTCTGTTAAGTAGAACGGGTGCGGGTTTACCAAACAGGACATGAAAAAGCTTAATAAATAAATAAATACAAAAATACAGTTATCCACTTTTTCAGAACACTTGACAGATTTGGTCAGATCTCTCAAATAGGAATGAAAAGTTTTGACATTTATATGTATTTATATACACCTGTCATTTAGGAATTATATGTAAATCATGAACTGAGGCAAAACTGAAACCAAAAAACTCATTAGTCCTGAAGAAAAGCAGAGCGACTGTTATCTCACCCCCAGTCAGGCTTGAAGGTGTCCAGCGCCTTCGGGCTCTTCAGGACCAGGAGCAGGAACTCGTGCATCTCCAGCAGGAAGGCGTCAGCGCTGGACTTGGTGAAGAAACTCTTGAGCAGGGTCCTTTGTTCATCCTGCAGAGGATGCTGGTACTCTTTGCTGATCCCCACAAACGGGTCCTGAAGTGCAGATGAAGAAAGTCACTTACACACACACACTCGAAGCAGAATGTGGTTTAGTGCGTTGCGTGTCTCACCCTCTTCAGACGAAGCATGGTCTCAGATTTCAGAGAGCTGAGCAGCTGCCACAGTGCCACACAGTGTTTCAGACTGCACCTGCTCAATGCCTGCACACACACACACACAGATTAGGGATTGGGTCAGCATCGCCAATTAGTTGAATGACATAAAAAGGAGTAAACACTGCTGTGAGGATGTTTTAATAGTTAACAGTAGTTAATATATCAACTAACATGAAGCAATACATTTATTACGGTTTTTGTTAATCTTGGTTAATATTAGTTAAGAAATAAACAACCGTTCATTTTTTGTTCATGTTAGTTCACAGTGCATTAACTAATGTTAACAAGATTTTAATAAAGTATTAGTAAATGTTGAAATTAACATCAACAAAGATGAATAAATTCTGTATACGTGCAGTTCAGGTAACTAATGTTAACTAACAAACATACTGTAATTGTAAAGTGTTACCACGACATTAACCAAATGAAATCGACAGAGCATAAAGCTTTTTGTGATTATTGGCAGGTGCACTCCAAATATTTGGTGAAGTTTTGTTCACTCGTCAGCAGAGACTAAAACGTTTTAGATTTAGAAAACCTATGGTTAATTAAACATCTGTTTGGCCTTCAAAAAACATTTTGGCCCAAAACTGAAAATAGCTGTTTTGGCTGCAAATTTCCGGTAGGCAAAATTGATGTGCATCCCAAAATCCTAAAAACAGCCCTGCTCTGGGCTGCGTTTCCAAAACAGCATCGTAAGTTGATCGGAGAGACACAATATATAGCAATACAAATATGCAGCAATATGCATCATGGATAATGACAATATATATTGTGTATAGTTCACTCAAAATAAAAATTACTGTGAGAAAAAGAAATCATGTTTTCAGAGTTTTAGAGTCAGTACTACTATATATAAAGTCGAACATAATGCATAATAATACAATGGGGCAATATTTGTGGGTCCTGATAATGCCAAATGTCTGATGTTACCAGTAAAAAGTGTCCTACGTTATTTTAAATATATCTAGTCAGTGAAAGAGTGCAAGCATATTAATCTAAAATAATTCTGTTTTCAGCTTCAGAAACATGAATGTTTTTATTCTGATGTCTCATGTGCTTTGGGTTTCAGCACCAAGTCTAAGCCTGTTCATTTACACACACAACGTAACACCAAATTTAGCATTTTAAATCAACAGAACATTTCTCGCTAGCCTTTAATATGATGCGTCTTGGATCATCGCAATAATACCGTATCGTGAAATGTATCGAATCGTGACATGAGGGTATTGTTACACCGCTAGTAGAAACCATTGGTGGCAATTGTTCTACGATCAACTTATGCTTTTGGGAAACGCAGCTTAGTCCAATAATAAACAAAGTGTGTGCTCATGACCAACCTTGTAGATGTGTGAGCCCATGTGGTCCGTCATCTGCAGCACCTCTTTGAGATAGGAGCTGAGCTGCATGTGAGGCTCAGCCCCGGTCATGGCGAGGAACCCCAGGGCCAACTGGACGGTGGACAACGCCTCACACACGTCACTGTAGGACTGCAGATCCTTCACCAGGTCGTGCTGCGTCAGCGGCTGCAACGGCTCCTGCCACACACAACAGCGCGTGAGGACATCTCACAAATATATTTCAGCAAATATATCTCAGAACACTGATTTCATTAAATATACAGTTTGAAAGGCACATTTAAACAACAGAAATGTTCATAAGAGCATTTTCACACTAAATCTTATACTCTTAATGGTGTTCGGCCAATCGTCAACTGAACCACAGGCTCTACTCGTCAGCACAATTATCCCAAAAACTCACACATACCAGAAAACCTTTTTAAATTCCAAAATAATAGAACATTAAACCAGAGGTGTATAGTAACGAAGTAGAATTACTTAAGTACTGTACTTAAGTAGTAAAATGCTGTATCTGTACTCTACTAGAGTATTGTCTTTTTCTCATACTTCTACTTTTACTTCAGTAGATATTTTCGATAAATGTAATACTTTTACTTCGATATTTTTTTTAATGTTCTGCGAGTTACTCGTTACAATTATAAAAATTTTATGAATGATTCGTTGCAAGTTGGCTTTAATACTGCCTAAATCACATGCCAGTTTTATAGGATAATGGTATTGATTGACAAAAACATTGACAACTAATGCAGGGGTTGTCCAGCAATGACATTTTTTTTGGCGGCCGCCAAAGCAAATTTTTATCCCGCCAAAGTGTCTTATTTGATCGCTAGTTCAAACTTTCAAATTTTGACTGCTTTCTTTAATAATTACATGACACAATACTTGTACTTTTACTTTTAGTACTTAAGTAGTAAATTTTAAAATAAACTACTTGCAATACTTAAGTACAAAAACTTTACTTTAGTACTTCTACTTAAGTGTGGTGCTTAAAGAGCACTTCAATTTCTACTCAAGTCACTTTTTTGATAGAGCACTTGTACTTTTACTCAAGTCCGGGTTTTGCATCTCTCCATTAAACACTATCAAATCTTCCCCCATATTAATATTGAGCAATACACATTAAATAACACTTAATTTTTAACTTGAATTGCTCTCCTTCAACAGTCAAAGCAAAGCATGCTAGGAACTAGAAATCTGTTGTAACTCATTCTGTGAATCATTAGCTCCGCCCACTCCCATGAATCACTGCGAATGACATAATCGAAGTGATCTCTGTACGGTAAGCCTGTCTTGGTTCATGGCTGATAATGTTTTAATAATAATTAATGATAACTTAAAAATCCCTATGGGAGAAATGAATGGAAAAAATACTTCCAGAACCAAGCCAGCAATGCTGAAAATATTGCACTCTATCACACACGTTAGAACGTCCGTCAACCAATCAGAATCCAGCAGTCAATAAGAAACCTCTATCTTAATACGTGACTTACTTGTTGAACTTTGCCCTTCACATCTTTCAATATGATCTCATAATTTCTGTCCTGTCTGTTCACCAATGTCGGAATCCCCTGGAAAACAAAACAAGAATAAATCAATCAGCAAATACAACTTTTCTAATAGAACTCCACAATAACTGCATTAATGGTGATGCAGTGTTGCAGTGACGTACATTAAAGGAGTAGTTCACTTTTGAAAAACTTTTGCTGATAATTTACTCACCCCCATGTCATCCAAGATGTCCATGTCTTTCTTTCCTCAGTCGAAAAGAAATTAAGGTTTTTGATGAAAACATTCCAGGATTTTCTCCATATAATGGACTTCAATGGGAACCAAACGGTTCAAGGTCCAAAACACAGTTTCAGTGCAGCTTCATAGGGCTTTAAACGATTCCAGACGATGAATAAGGGTCTTATCAAGGGAAACGATCGCTCATTTAATAAATAAATAACAAAGTTTAAGTTTTATAAGCTCATATGCTCGCCTTGCTTTGTTCTGTGACTCTCCTGTTCGAACTCGTTCATAAAAATGAACGAATCTTTTTCTGAGTCAATTCGTTCGTTGAATGAACCAAATAACTCGGAAAAAGATTCGTTCATTTTGATGAACGAGTTCGAACAGGAGAGTCACAAACGCGCATCACAGAACAGAGCAAGGCGAGCATTTGAGCTTATAAAACTTAAACCTAGTTATTTATTTATTAAATGAGCGATCGTTTCACTTGATAAGACCCTTATTCATCGTCTGGAATCGTTTAAAGCCCTTTGAACAATTTGCACTGAAACTGTCTTTTGGACCTGAACCGTTTGGTTCCCATTGAAGTCCATTATATGGAGAAAATCCTGGAATGTTTTCATCAAAAACCTTAATTGCTTTTCAACTGAAGAAAGAAAGACATTGACATCTTGGATGACATGGGGGTGAGTAAATTATCAGCAAAAGTTTTTTTAAAAGTGAACTACACCTTTAACGGTGATGTGTGTCAGTGTCGCAGTGACGTATATTAATGGTGATGTGTGTCAGTGGTGCAGTGACGTACATTAATGGTGATGTGTGTCAGTGAAGCAGTGACGTATATTAATGGTGATGTGTGTCAGTGTCGCAGTGACGTACATTAATGGTGATGTGTGTCAGTGGTGCAGTGACGTACATTAATGGTGATGTGTGTCAGTGGTGCAGTGACGTACATTAATGGTGATGTGTGTCAGTGTCGCAGTGACGTACATTAATGGTGATGTGTGTCAGTGTCGCAGTAACGTACATTAATGGTGATGTGTGTCAGTGGTGCAGTGACGTACATTAATGGTGATGTGTGTCAGTGGTGCAGTGACGTACATTAATGGTGATGTGTGTCAGTGGTGCAGTGACGTACATTTATGGTGATGTGTGTCAGTGGTGCAGTGACGTACATTAATGGTGATGTGTGTCAGTGATGCAGTGACATACATTTATGGTGATGTGTGTCAGTGGTGCAGTGACGTACATTAATGGTGATGTGTGTCAGTGGTGCAGTGACGTACATTAATGGTGATGTGTGTCAGTGGTGCAGTGACGTACATTAATGGTGATGTGCGTCAGTGAAGCAGTGACGTATATTAATGGTGATGTGTGTCAGTGTCGCAGTGACGTACATTAATGGTGATGTGTGTCAGTGGTGCAGTGACGTACATTAATGGTGATGTGTGTCAGTGGTGCAGTGACGTACATTAATGGTGATGTGTGTCAGTGTCGCAGTGACGTACATTAATGGTGATGTGTGTCAGTGTCGCAGTAACGTACATTAATGGTGATGTGTGTCAGTGGTGCAGTGACGTACATTAATGGTGATGTGTGTCAGTGGTGCAGTGACGTACATTAATGGTGATGTGTGTCAGTGGTGCAGTGACGTACATTTATGGTGATGTGTGTCAGTGGTGCAGTGACGTACATTAATGGTGATGTGTGTCAGTGATGCAGTGACATACATTTATGGTGATGTGTGTCAGTGGTGCAGTGACGTACATTAATGGTGATGTGTGTCAGTGGTGCAGTGACGTACATTAATGGTGATGTGTGTCAGTGGTGCAGTGACGTACATTAATGGTGATGTGTGTCAGTGGTGCAGTGACGTACATTAATGGTGATGTGTGTCAGTGGTGCAGTGACGTACATTAATGGTGATGTGTGTCAGTGGTGCAGTGACGTACATTAATGGTGATGTGTGTCAGTGGTGCAGTGACGTACATTTATGGTGATGTGTGTCAGTGGTGCAGTGACGTACATTAATGGTGATGTGTGTCAGTGTCGCAGTGACGTACATTAATGGTGATGTGTGTCAGTGTCGCAGTAACGTACATTAATGGTGATGTGTGTCAGTGGTGCAGTGACGTACATTAATGGTGATGTGTGTCAGTGGTGCAGTGACGTACATTAATGGTGATGTGTGTCAGTGGTGCAGTGACGTACATTTATGGTGATGTGTGTCAGTGGTGCAGTGACGTACATTAATGGTGATGTGTGTCAGTGATGCAGTGACATACATTTATGGTGATGTGTGTCAGTGGTGCAGTGACGTACATTAATGGTGATGTGTGTCAGTGGTGCAGTGACGTACATTAATGGTGATGTGTGTCAGTGGTGCAGTGACGTACATTAATGGTGATGTGTGTCAGTGGTGCAGTGACGTACATTAATGGTGATGTGTGTCAGTGGTGCAGTGACGTACATTAATGGTGATGTGTGTCAGTGGTGCAGTGACGTACATTAATGGTGATGTGTGTCAGTGGTGCAGTGACGTACATTAATGGTGATGTGTGTCAGTGGTGCAGTGACATACATTAATGGTGATGTGTGTCAGTAGTGCAAGGACATACATTAATGGTGATGTGCGTCAGTGGTGCAGTGACGTACATTAATGGTGATGTGCGTCAGTGGTGCAGTGACGTACATTAATGGTGATGTGTGTCAGTAGTGCAGTGACGTACATTAATGGTGATGTGTGTCAGTAGTGCAGTGACATACATTAATGGTGATGTGCGTCAGTGGTGCAGTGACGTACATTAATGGTGATGTGTGTCAGTGGTGCAGTGACGTACATTAATGGTGATGTGTGTCAGTGGTGCAGTGACATACATTAATGGTGATGTGCGTCAGTGAAGCAGTGACGTATATTAATGGTGATGTGTGTCAGTGTCGCAGTGACGTACATTAATGGTGATGTGTGTCAGTGGTGCAGTGACGTACATTAATGGTGATGTGTGTCAGTGGTGCAGTGACGTACATTAATGGTGATGTGTGTCAGTGTCGCAGTGACGTACATTAATGGTGATGTGTGTCAGTGTCGCAGTAACGTACATTAATGGTGATGTGTGTCAGTGGTGCAGTGACGTACATTAATGGTGATGTGTGTCAGTGGTGCAGTGACGTACATTAATGGTGATGTGTGTCAGTGGTGCAGTGACGTACATTTATGGTGATGTGTGTCAGTGGTGCAGTGACGTACATTAATGGTGATGTGTGTCAGTGATGCAGTGACATACATTTATGGTGATGTGTGTCAGTGGTGCAGTGACGTACATTAATGGTGATGTGTGTCAGTGGTGCAGTGACGTACATTAATGGTGATGTGTGTCAGTGGTGCAGTGACGTACATTAATGGTGATGTGTGTCAGTGGTGCAGTGACGTACATTAATGGTGATGTGTGTCAGTGGTGCAGTGACGTACATTAATGGTGATGTGTGTCAGTGGTGCAGTGACGTACATTAATGGTGATGTGTGTCAGTGGTGCAGTGACGTACATTTATGGTGATGTGTGTCAGTGGTGCAGTGACGTACATTAATGGTGATGTGTGTCAGTGTCGCAGTGACGTACATTAATGGTGATGTGTGTCAGTGTCGCAGTAACGTACATTAATGGTGATGTGTGTCAGTGGTGCAGTGACGTACATTAATGGTGATGTGTGTCAGTGGTGCAGTGACGTACATTAATGGTGATGTGTGTCAGTGGTGCAGTGACGTACATTTATGGTGATGTGTGTCAGTGGTGCAGTGACGTACATTAATGGTGATGTGTGTCAGTGATGCAGTGACATACATTTATGGTGATGTGTGTCAGTGGTGCAGTGACGTACATTAATGGTGATGTGTGTCAGTGGTGCAGTGACGTACATTAATGGTGATGTGTGTCAGTGGTGCAGTGACGTACATTAATGGTGATGTGTGTCAGTGGTGCAGTGACGTACATTAATGGTGATGTGTGTCAGTGGTGCAGTGACGTACATTAATGGTGATGTGTGTCAGTGGTGCAGTGACGTACATTAATGGTGATGTGTGTCAGTGGTGCAGTGACGTACATTTATGGTGATGTGTGTCAGTGGTGCAGTGACGTACATTAATGGTGATGTGTGTCAGTGTCGCAGTGACGTACATTAATGGTGATGTGTGTCAGTGTCGCAGTAACGTACATTAATGGTGATGTGTGTCAGTGGTCCAGTGACGTACATTAATGGTGATGTGTGTCAGTGGTGCAGTGACGTACATTAATGGTGATGTGTGTCAGTGGTGCAGTGACGTACATTTATGGTGATGTGTGTCAGTGGTGCAGTGACGTACATTAATGGTGATGTGTGTCAGTGATGCAGTGACATACATTTATGGTGATGTGTGTCAGTGGTGCAGTGACGTACATTAATGGTGATGTGTGTCAGTGGTGCAGTGACGTACATTAATGGTGATGTGTGTCAGTGGTGCAGTGACGTACATTAATGGTGATGTGTGTCAGTGGTGCAGTGACGTACATTAATGGTGATGTGTGTCAGTGGTGCAGTGACGTACATTAATGGTGATGTGTGTCAGTGGTGCAGTGACGTACATTAATGGTGATGTGTGTCAGTGGTGCAGTGACGTACATTAATGGTGATGTGTGTCAGTGGTGCAGTGACATACATTAATGGTGATGTGTGTCAGTAGTGCAAGGACATACATTAATGGTGATGTGTGTCAGTGGTGCAGTGACATACATTAATGGTGATGTGTGTCAGTAGTGCAAGGACATACATTAATGGTGATGTGCGTCAGTGGTGCAGTGACGTACATTAATGGTGATGTGCGTCAGTGGTGCAGTGACGTACATTAATGGTGATGTGTGTCAGTAGTGCAGTGACGTACATTAATGGTGATGTGTGTCAGTAGTGCAGTGACATACATTAATGGTGATGTGCGTCAGTGGTGCAGTGACGTACATTAATGGTGATGTGTGTCAGTGGTGCAGTGACGTACATTAATGGTGATGTGTGTCAGTGGTGCAGTGACATACATTAATGGTGATGTGCGTCAGTGAAGCAGTGACGTATATTAATGGTGATGTGTGTCAGTGTCGCAGTGACGTACATTAATGGTGATGTGTGTCAGTGGTGCAGTGACGTACATTAATGGTGATGTGCGTCAGTGGTGCAGTGACGTACATTAATGGTGATGTGTGTCAGTAGTGCAGTGACGTACATTAATGGTGATGTGTGTCAGTAGTGCAGTGACATACATTAATGGTGATGTGCGTCAGTGGTGCAGTGACGTACATTAATGGTGATGTGTGTCAGTAGTGCAGTGACGTACATTAATGGTGATGTGGTCAGTGTCGCAGTGACGTACATTAATGGTGATTTGTGTCAGTGATGCAGTGACGTACATTAATGGTGATGTGTGTCAGTAGTGCAGTGACATACATTAATGGTGATGTGTGTCAGTGGTGCAGTGACGTACATTAATGGTGATGTGTGTCAGTAGTGCAGTGACATACATTAATGGTGATGTGCGTCAGTGGTGCAGTGACATACATTAATGGTGATGTGTGTCAGTGGTGCAGTGACGTACATTAATGGTGATGTGTGTCAGTAGTGCAGTGACGTACATTAATGGTGATGTGTGTCAGTGGTGCAGTGACGTACATTAATGGTGATGTGTGTCAGTGGTGCAGTGACGTACATTAATGGTGATGTGTGTCAGTGGTGCAGTGACGTACATTAATGGTGATGTGTGTCAGTAGTGCAGTGACGTACATTAATGGTGATGTGTGTCAGTGGTGCAGTGACGTACATTAATGGTGATGTGTGGTTTGCCCTGTAGGAAGCGGGTCAGGATCTGCTGCTGGATCTGGGGCAGGTCATACTCCAGCAGGGTTTCCTGCCCGCGCTCCATGCTGTACTGGCAGTGGGACAGCACCAGCGGCAGCAGGTCCCGCTCGTACTCGTAGCGGATCACGTGCAGATCCGTCAGGTCTGCTGGGCTCACCGTGTAACTGGAGGAAACAGGGCAGAGCATGAGGTGGAGAAACTGAATGTTCTGGGTGGTTGTTTACTAGCCCAAGTCAAAACAGCACACCACTAATATTGTCTAGACTAGGTATTCAATTTAAGTTCAAAGAGGTCCGGTCTATATATCTCCTACTTCTTGTCCGGACATCACTTTTTTAGTTACTTTTCCACAGAGGCAATAGTAGTACTTTGTAAAAGAAAACAAAAAACCTAAACACTCAAAATAGTCATTAGAGATAAGCATCTTGCCCAAAGAGTCAAAGCAGTGATGTCTAAGAATTTTTACCAAAAAAAGTAAATGTTTCTCCCAACCGGATATGAATATAAAAAGGTTATATCAGATGTTTTAATGGGCTATTTTTTCATGTATTTATTTTACTAACGACTGATCATGACCAAACATGCTGAGTCAGAGAGAGTTGCTTTCAGATGGTGTTTAAAATCTGCTGCAGTCGTTAAAAAAAGTCTGTAAGTGTGTTCAGTTCAGTCTCATTCAAAAATGGACCATTTTTAGATTTTGCTCAAAGTAATAAACTATCAAAAACAAACAACGTAAATAATCTAATAATCAACTTCCATCAGGACAAAACAAAGTCAACTAGTAATTTAATTTTTTTTTCTAAATAATCTCTATCTCCATCTCTAAATAATTTTACAAAATTTAACATCGTTTATTATTAAAAGCTCTTCATATGTCGATTAATAATGCTAAATGTATGAAAAAAAGTTAGTTAGTTAGTTAAACAGTCAGAGTCATCTGTAGGCAGATAAACATAATTGTGTTAACTGCATTCTCGTTTTCTGCAGTGTTTTAGAGAAAGTATCAGTTTGTGTCCAGCCTCTCACGGGGATTTCGGATGCCCCAACGCCTGTGATGAGACGACTCAACGCCTGTGAAGAGACGACTCAACGCCTGCGATATGTTATGGCGCCGTTTGATTCATAAACAATATTTATATTTAATATTTATATTTAAACAATATGAATGTAAGCCAGAGGAGAACTGGCCCCCGACTGAGCCTGGGTTCTCCCAAGGTTTTTTCTCCATCCAATCTGATGGAGTTTGGTTCCTTGCCACTGTCGCCTTGCTTTTGGCTTGCTTTGAGCTTGCTCAGTTGGGGTTATTTAGTGTTTAGCAATGTTGTTGATCTATGTTGTGCTACTTTCATGTTATCAGTGTGAAGCTGCTTTGATACAATCTGTATTGTGAAAAGCGCTATATAAATAAATGTGACTTGACTTGACTTCTGCTGCTCACCGTGTTTCTGCTACTATTGTGAAAATAACTGCAGGTCTTAATGTGGCGCTTTAACGTCTTTATTGGGAGAAAGCAATGTGTATGGAGCGGAAAGGGCTTGAATTAAGCACTTTTAGCTCCACACAAAAATATTATAGATATAGCTTCGAAAGATCATTACCATAATCAACCCTGAGTGCTTGTGGTGTGAACCGTTGCTGCTGACTGTAATCCGTAGAAATGCTAAAATGGCGCAGTTATGCGGCCCTGCGGTGCGGATGGGAGAAACTGATATCACTATGATATATCGCGGTCCGCAATTTGAACAACACTGGTCTAGACCAGCAAGTCTGTGGGTTTTTTTCCTTGTATACATGCCAGGTGGAAATCGTAAGTGCGATCATTTAGAGAAGTAATAGTTATTATCACAAGCCACATGATTTTAAATATCTCCCATATCCACTAACGTTATAGGAAGAGTTGCACCATGAAACTCTTGCTATGGGTTTCAATAACCCCAGAATGCCACGGGACAGCGGCTGAAGCTCTTACCCAGACTCCTCTCCGGTGTGTTTCTCCACAGCGTACACCAGATCATTGTGAAGCGTGATGAGGTAGCTGACAAGCGCAGTGGAGCACAGGCCCAGACCGTGTCTTTGAGGCAGCAAAACCTGCAGGTCAGCGTCCAGACCCAGATCCTCCTGAGTGTAGTCGGCCGGCAGCTTCAGCTCTCCTGACACACAATAAAACATTACAATAAAACACATCTGTTTCCATGAATTACTTTACGGTGGTCTAAAACAGGGGCAATTTGAAAATTAATTCAGATCAGACCTCATTCAGAAATCCATGTCACAAATATAGACTATATATACAATCTGACTGTAGGTTAAAATGATTAAATGTTAAAACGGCTTGCCATAGTGCTTGTGTGTGTGTGTGTTTGTGTGCGTGTAGGGGGAGGGGGGCTAGATTGACCATTTCACTGCTGTGTTGTTTGGCCTGCATTAAAAAAGAAAATAAATGTCTTGAGTCTTGTATTTTTTAAATAAGTTTTATTAAATAAAGTAAAGGCATTTAACCAGTTTATATGATTAGTTTATTAATTAAATTAACTTGGTCCATAAACTTGGTCTGACTATTTGGTCCAACAACTGTCCTTTTCACGTTTTTTACAGAATATTTTAAGTTATCACTCAGAGTGTATTGTGGAGAAATCTGGAAATAAAAACTCAGTCTAGAATTTTCTATATTTGTAGACAGGGTCTCCAACCGTGTATTCATGAACAGCCAGGTCTTAAGCAATGCTTTTGTAGCCTTGTCCAGCTTTATGCATGTCTTTAAAGCATTTTTAATGATTTTGTGCTTTTAATTTAAAGGGCACTTCCAATCTCATCTCCTTAATTGACTTTTAACCCTAACCTATTTAGCTTTTGGAGAAGTCATTACTCAGAACACAGAGGTTCACTTACTTAATCCAGTCTGCTCTGTCAATATCTCTCAGTGTCTTCAATACAATTTTGAAAAAAGTACACCTTTTTGGGTCAGATTGTGTTCGTCTACAATTGTGACTTGGATGAGGATCAGAACATATTTTATGAGTAGTCAATGCAGAAATCCTGTTCTTTTCAAAGGGTTCACAGTGGTATTAGTAGTCGGCTCACCTGTGGTAGCCAGAGACACCCTGATTTGGTTCCATGTTGACAAAAAGATTTTTATGCGCTTTTCATACCAGGCTGAGAAGGAAGCTGTTGAATGAAGAAATGTGTTTGCAATGAATGTAATCTATATTTATAGAGAAATGGCATATGCTTGCATCATTGTTCTGCACATTTGAGCTGAAATGGGAAATACAACATCAGCAAATAATTATCAATTAATTTATCATAACTCAATCATGAATGACCCACACTGACCCGAAGGTAAATGTGTGATATGGGCAGTACCTGCTCTCTGGCTCTGCAGGAACTCTCCTATGGTGCTGTAGGTCAGGTCTGTCACGTTCTGAAACTTCTTTACCAATTCCCTCTGGAGAGCCAAGATGTCGGGCAGGAACCTCACCAGCCGAAGCTCTGCTTCCTAAAATAAACAGTTGGTTAACATACAATACACATTTTATTTCTAGAACACATTTAAAAATGCCGTTGTCCACAGTGCTTCATATCGTCACAAACAAAATTAAATCCTGTTCACTCAATCAGCTCTAAAAAGCCATACTAAAAAGTACGACTTCAAACTAGACTTCAGAGCATTCACAGATGGGGAAGATTTAATGTGGATTGGAAGAGGGCTCATAAGCTTTGGACTTTAAAGGGTAATTCCACCGGTGGAGACATGAATATGTATTGAAAGTGGGTCATATATATAGTAGAAAAGGATCATAAATTTCTAATTTGGGTTCTTCTTGGCCGATAAAAGGCAGAAATGGACTTTTTAGTGCTTGTGGATTGTAGACAACAATCCCCATAGTGCATTGCAATTCTCAGCTCCGCAGGCCACTCCCACTACTCTGCCCATCACTGTAGACTAGAGTTGAGCTCCACCACCTGGAAATCATCATTTCGCACAGTGAAAATCAGATAATGCGCGCAAATAGCCTATAATGTGACGATGTAAGAGTGCTAAGGTGGCGTCCGCGCCATCAGCTAATGGATTGACGTATTTCTATATGGGCTTCAGACAATCGGCACACTTACTCTGATGCGTAATTTTACACGTGAAATGCAGCCAAACCTTGGAGCGTTTTGTCTTCGGCATCTTCATTAATCAAATTAATTAAATTAAAAACTTTGCGTGTTTACGCCGCATGACACAGAGAGAACTGAAATTGTCGTTCTTATTCGGCCTGGTTATTACCGTTCACGGTGGAACCGGTTCCCTATTGGCACCACGTTTCGGTACCCAACTCCATCCATAATGCATCCGTCAGCGTGTTCAGTACCTTCGTCCATATTTTCAAAAAGTTTCTGCCGGTGAAATCAAACGCACTGGCACTGATCTGTGATTGGTCTGTTAGCGCATTAGGCCCAACCCCATATGGGCGGGCTTGAAAGGGTGGGAACTAGTGCTTGTAGTCTTTAAAGAAATCCCCCCCTCTTACTCTTCCTTCTACAATGATGTAAAATGATTTTTGCTTCATTATAAGGGATAAGAGTGTATTTCTCTTGTCTCAGGGATAATATGAGAGTGTTGCACGACCATTCAATAGTATAACTGGATTTCTAACAATGGAAAGCTTAATGCAGATGGGTGGAGTGTCCATTTAATCTAGTTTTAGGAACAAAGAATCATTTGACTAGAAGATCTCATATTTCTTGTGTTTTGATAAGGTATCAAACAATATATTTTGGGGCAATACCAAGCAACGCTTTAAAATCCATAAAACTCAATCCTGAATTTTATCAGCAAGCCAGTGTAAAGAAACCAAAACTAAGTAATTCTCTCTCTCTCTCTCTTCTTTGTACGAGTCAAAAGTCTGGCCGCAGCATTGTGCACTAATTGTAGACGAGATAATTGACCCTGTGAGATACATATAAAGAATTACAGTAATTAATGTGTGATGTGTGACTAACAGTGAATGCATGACTAACAGTCTCCAGGTCCTTAAAGGAGAGAATTGGTTTTAGATTAGGAATAGTTCTGACTTTGAATTGATAAAAACCAGCCTTAACAACACTAGTGACCTGTTTATCTAAAACCAAAGCCTTTCGGATCTATTGGACTATATAACTGAGTGTCATCTGTGTTTCAATGATACATAATATTGTATTTACGATTGCCCAAAGGGCACATGCATGAATAAAACAAAATAGGTGCAAGTATGGAACCCAGTGGCACACCACAATGTAAATTAGATGATGTAGAATGCAAATTTCCAATACAAACCAAAAATTATCTATCCTTCAAGTATGATTTAAACCAGTCTAAGGTTTTCCCTTAATGCCAACATCTTCAAAACGGCGCAATAAAATACAGTAATAAAATAGCAGACTCAAAGGCGAATGTGAGATAGAGTAAAATAAGGATAACTACTTTTCCAGAATCAACTGCTATCAATAAAATATCATTAAAAACCTTAAGGAGGGCAGATTCTGTGAACAGTCAGTAATAACATAAGAACAAATTACATGCATAGATAAATACATAAAATTATAAACAATGTAATGTCTAACAGTATTCAGGTACCAAAATGTATTCATTTTATGTAAAAAAAACACTGTAGTGTTCACTGTATAACTTACAAATAGATGAATCTTTGTATAAGATGTGTTTTGTTGTTTGATTGACATGAATGATTCAGACAGCAGCAGATATTTTATAGGCTGTGTCACTTTAAGAACTAATAAACGGATCCAAATATAATAATACACAACCGATTTCATCTCAACGGTTCACATTCACGTAAGACATAACCGATTATTTTTACAAGAACATAGTTGTGTGTGAGTCTCTTAAAGTACATGGAGATGTGAAAGAGGAATGTGTGTTTGTGTGCGCGCTTTGGGTGTGTACGCTCAGATAACAGTGCTAGTTGTTCTCTTTCACCTCTTCTTGTGCTTGAATGGTTTAAAATCGCTTCAATGTGTATGATAAACTTGATAAACTTTCACTCTGTAATGGCTAAACTCAGCAATTAATCCGCGAATCACATGCGTGCCGAACCGTCGCGTCTGTAAGGATCACGGATCAATTGCAATCTGTTACGACCCTTTTGCTAATAGCAAAAAGTCTGGCTACACAACATAAACAATCCATCTAGGAAGCAGTTGAAGTCTCTGGTTGTTCAACAGCGAGAGAATCACTCTGGTTGATGGATATCTTACCCGTTGAAGGAACTTCCAGAACACAGGCAAAGTGTCCCGGCCGTTGTTCTGCTCCACAATGTGTGTCAGACTCAACATCGAGACCTTCTTCCGGCAGCTCCAGATGGATGAATTATGGATGAGGGATTTCTTTGGCAGAGAGCGCAGGAAAAGCCCTGGTTCCCCAAATGTCAACTTCATCACCGGATTGGAAGACACTCGCTCATCTTCCCTGATGAATGCGTTCACTTCCTTTAGCTGATGCTCCAAAACCTGAAAAGAAAAAGCAGAGCTTCAACTAATAATCATTTCAAATAATCAGCTCATTTAAAAAAAATTATAACAAAGTTTAAGTTTTATAAGCTCAAATGCTCGCCTTGCTCTGTCCTGTGATGCGCGTTCGTGACACTCCTGTTCAAACTCGTTCATCAAAATGAACGAATCTTTTTCCAGAGTCAATTCGTTCACTTCATTCGTTAAATGAACCAAATGACACGAAAAAAGATTCTTTAATTTTGATAAACGAATTCAAACAGGAGAGTCACAAACGCACATCACAGAACAGAGCAAGGCATGGAAAGAAGAAAGACATGGATATCTTGGATGACATTGGGGTGAGTAAATTATCAGCAAAAGTTTTTTTGAAAGTGAACTACTCCTTTAATGAAACGGCTCTGAATCACCCACACAGCTTCTGCTTTATGTTGTGATCAAACTAGTCAACAAAAGGAAAAAGCTTATTTTTTATTCTCAATAAATTTGTCAATTAGTTTTAGACAAAAGAAAAAAAAAAAAGGAAAATCAAGCATGATAAACACCTAAATTAACCAAGAAAAAAATACCTTTAAGTTGCATAGTTGATTCTGGGTGCTGTGACTTACTAAAAGATGGCATGTTGTTTACCTTCAGCTGATGTGCGATGACATCAGTATTCATGGCAGTTTCCCAAGCATTTCTTGCATCTTTAGTGGTAAGGTTTTGATCATAAAGAACAGGCCCTGTTTACAATAACAAAATGTTACATTTCTTGAATTTCCGAAGCAAGAGCTCAATATGGCAGGTGTCAAATATAAGGCGAGTTGTGTGGGCTCTTACACCGGCTGGGCTGATGGGGCTCCAGGAGACTGTGGATGATCAAATGGACAGTATTGACTGTATCATCCACTCCTTTACCCAGAGCTCTGCTCAGCTGCTCCATGTCCTTCAGAAGATGGCCCATCAGGAACCGGCCAGGATCCAGCACTGCAGGCTTGATGATCTGCATAACACTCTACACACACATGCAAAAACATGGGATGAGTTCTTCAAACGCTTATGTGCATCTGATCTGGATTGAGTTGTCTGAGAGATTACTCAATGTCTGTATGCATGTACAGGGATGACAACCTTTGAGTTTAGCATCGAGTAAGAATTATGGATTGGGGAAATTTGCATCATAATAAGTGTATTGTAATATTTGTTGTGTTAAAATATTTGGTAACTAAACATAATTTCATTAAGTTTCGTTGTTCACATGGTGCAGGAATTGGTAGGCTATACTGTTTTTAACGATTTCAATTCATAAGCTTGCAATCTTGATTTAATCTTGATTCATTTGGATAAATATCAGGTATAGTAGCTACATGTTAATTTTTGTCAAGGAGCGAATCTCGCAACTAATGCTGTAAACAAATGGAATGTCAGCTGGTATTATTATTAGAGGTTTAACTGAACAACTCAAATTAATATAATCTGTTTTTTTTATAATAATAATGTTATAATATTTGAATGATACGAGTAAAAATATAATAAACATGTAATATAGTGCATATTTTTAGCAAAAAACTCCTTCCTATAGTTAATTTTCCTAGCTAACTAACATGCGATAGTCATTAAATGGCTTTCCTGAGGTAAATGTAACAGTATGTGACATTGGCCGATTGTTCTCCAGCTGTTCAATTGGCTTTATGCCCAGCTGCACTACTTCCTGAACTTCAGCCAGCTTCTTGTTTCCTGTCTGCCATTATTGGCCAAATTGATTAATTCAGGTGTGTCTGATTATTGTTGCCATGACTACTGAGGTCAAGCACACCTGAATTAATCAATTTGGCCAATAATGGCAGACAGGAAACAAGGAGCTGGCTGAAGTTCAGGAAGTAGAGCAGCTGGGCATAAAGCCCATTGACGTCTTTTCACATTTGAAACACTGATTGATCAATTCCAAAATGTGACATTCGGTAAGTTGTACTCTATCTTTCAACATTTACTGTATCGGTCACCTTCTCATGTTCATTAATGTTTATTTTCTATTAACTAGTAGATAAGAGGAAGAGATGATCAGTTCACGTGCCGTAACTGAGGCGCTGCAATGATCTGTCATGTTTAAAGGGATTCTCCACTTTTTTTGGAAATATTTTCATTTTACAACTCCCCTGGAGTTAAACTGTTGAGTTTTACCTTTTTTGTATCCATTCAGCCGATCTCCGGTTCTGGCGGTAGCACTTTTAGCATAGCTTAGCATACATCATTGAAGTGCACAACAGGGTTCTCAAGTTTGAGCAAAAGCTTGGAGTGAGATCACACGCGGTTAGGGGAGGAGCCATAATGAAGCCCCGCCCCACCCATCCCCGCCCCCAATTTTACCCATTGTTCATAATTAACCAGAACAAATTAAAATTATAACAATTAGGCCTAGTAAATCTAATAAATGACAGAGCAATTCATCACATCAAATACTCTTTAATGCAGTATTACAAATATAGCTAACCAAAAATATAACAAATTGCTCCAAACAGTTTCAAACAAATCTTTAAAAATTGCATTTTGATTTTTGAATGCGTCTTCTATCTAGACGAATGATTTATTGTGTGGTGGGACATTGAGAACAAATGGACAGATTAGAGTGCACCACCTCTTCCACTGTCTCCTCCTCTAATCTGGCAACCTTTTTAGGGGGCTTACCCTTTGGTGCCCAAAATGACAAAATATCTTTCTGCTTTTTTCCTGACATCTTTGAAAAATACAAATGCAACATTATGACAATGATTAAATATTACCCAGAGCAATCTGCTGTAATACATCCTTAATGTAACTAGAAAGACTATTAATATTACAGTATAATATAATTTAAAATAAAATCAGTAAATCTTCATTCCTTTCCATACCCACTAACATTTCTCTTAGTTTCAGATAACATAAGATAGCCAAACTGAGCCTGGTTGCAAAGTAGTTGTAGAGTTTTTGACTGCATCAATAATAATGTACGATGGGCTACATATTAAATGTTCTAGCCCAAAAATGTTAGACGAGCTTCTTCCAACTTACCTGCTTCTCCATCACGACACATGTGTTCGCGCGATGTTGTTGGTTACCTAGTAACGAACGTAAGGTGGCCGAGGATGTTCCGTCCATTTCCGTGTGTTCGCGCTACTGAATGACATGTCATGTATAGATCAGTGGTGCACGCAGCGCGCATATATGTTGCCTAGTAACGAACGCAATCTGGCGGAGATACGCGCTGGTGGCAGGAAACTTCACTTTGTTTGCCTGCGCCTCGTATACAACGTTAGAAAGCTTTCAGCCAGGACAACTTGGTTGGCATTGCCTTTTCAGCGTGAGAAATACACAGTGTGGCGTGTGAGCGTGTGAACCGGTCGAAATGAGTGTGTCTCACGGCCAATGCGTGAGACTTGAGAACCCTGGCACAAGACCATTAGCATTTCTCCCCCAAAAAATTACCAAAGTGTTTTGATATTTTTCCTATTTAAAACTTGACTCTTCTTTAGTTACATCATGCACTAAGACAGACGGAAAATGTAAAGTTGCGATTTTCTAGGCTGATATGACTAGGAACTATACTCTCATTCCTGCGTAATAATCAGGAAACTTCACTGTCGTAATGTTATGACGCAGCGCCTGAAAATAGTCCCCAGCTTCTAACGTGACTGGAACTAAGTTTGAGTAGTCATCGCGCCTGCTGCACTCATGGTACGGCAGTAAAGTGTCTTGATTATTACGCAGGAATGAGAGTATAGTTCCTAGTCATATCATCCTAGAAAATCGCAACTTTAAATTTTCCGTCTGTCTTAGTGCACGATGTAACTATAGAAGAGTCAAGTTTTAAATAGGAAAAATATCGAAACATTTTGGTAATTTTTTGAGAGAAATGCTACTGGTCTTGTGCACTTCAATGATGTATGCTAAGCTATGCTAAAAGTGGTGCCGCCAGAACCGGAGATCGACTGAATGGATTCAAAAAAGGTAAAACTCAACAGTTTAACTCTGGGGGAGTTGTAAAATGAGTGTATTTCCAAAAAAAGTGGAGTATCCCTTTAAGAGTGCCAAACAGTAAATTTCGTGATAAAATTATGTTTTCAAAGTCTTGTTTCATATCAAAGTAACCCTCATTTTCCGTCGGTGTCCTCTTTGCGTGATGTGTGGCGTGCGAGCATGAGAAAAGAGTCTCATGTGAGAGTTGGCAGCCCTGCATGTATCGATACTCAAAACCAAAACAAGCATACTTTGATAAATATTTATAAATACATAAAAGGCAGAAGGAATGTAACACCTGTGTGTTGTTTTGAGCTCCCAGCAGCATGGACATGTGTGTGAGCAGTCTGAGGAGAGCGAAGGGGGCCGGAGACATGTTCTTAGTGTCCTGCATGTCAGGATGATCACGACGCTGTGCATCGCCCAGAATGTGTCCCGACTTAGTGCGGTCCCCTCTGCAAAGAGAAGCAAGACCTCATATTTAATGAAAAACGGCTTAAACAATTACCTCTAACATACGGGTTTACAGACAAGACTTAAACTAGTCCCAGACTAAAATGCATGTTTAAGCTGTTTTAACTGAAACAGTTAAAATCTTAAAATATGTCAGTGCTTTTGTTTTGTCTCAAGATTCACACCAGTAATGCTACTTAAATACTGGCTTAATCCCAACCCTGTCTGTGAAACCAGGCCTAAAACTTTCAAGTTGTACACATTTGCATTAGTAAATGTATTATGAACAGACAAGAATAACTAAGAAAAACATTTTATTCATAAATTAATAATAACCTATAGAAAAAAATGTTATCATCATTAGTTCATGATGCATGTTAACAAACTGAACTTTATTATATAGTGGTACCAGAAACTCATCCTATGCACAATTACATTTGTCTACACCACCATTTCTAAAAATGTACTTCAATGCTTATAAAAAGTTGTGTAGACCTATTTATATTTACCAACTATTTACAAACTTGAACTAAATTTGTTTCTCATGATCTTAAAAAACATTTAATCAAAGGTTTATACTCATAAATCTTTGGATGAAATGTTTTTAAGATAATGAGAAACAAATTTAGTTCAAGTTGGTAGAACATTGTCTGTCTGTGACAATGATCAATTATACCGTTTAAAGGTAATTATATTAAATATTTAACTGCAGAATGGAGTCATAGTCAATATTTCAGAGAGACAGATAATAAACTATATTTACCAAAACTGGCAAGAATAAAAGAGGAACAAGAATTCACTGCAAAAAAAAACCAACTAAAACTTACTGTATGTGCATGGCTTGGAAGCCCTGAACGGGCCTGTGGTTGGTGCCACCTATTTCTGCGTTACAGTCTAGACAGTGACCGACCTGCATGGGTTGACCACACTGGACAGATGCAGGAGGAAAATACATATATTTTTAATTTTAAGAAAAATAAATAAACAAAAAATGATTCATGCTCTGTGACTTAATTCCTATGATTTGGCTTGTGCAAAAGCTATAGATTAAGACATGACCCTACCTCACCAACAGTGCATGGATGACCATTAGGACAGACTGTCAAGATAAAAAGAACAACAGAAATTAGAAAATGAAAAAAAGTGTGATTTCTAATCCCCCCAAATAAGAATGCCTTGTCAATGTCAAAGACCTGTCAAAATGTCCCCACCTTTAGAGCTTAAATCAATTCTATCGGCTCAAAGACATTTTTGGAGATTTAATTTGCCACCTGAGTAGAAATCCTGCTATAATCACATGTTTGTCTATGCACTCTTAACAGTCAAAATGTGTAAATCAAAAAGGTTTTCCCTTTTACTTTATAAATACATGTTTCTAGTCTTGTTCTAAAATGTTTTTTTCAAAATCCTGGCATACATTATATAATTTAACTCCAAACAATGTCACATTACAGCAGTGGTATGGCTTGGAAAAACAGTTCTATGTTCTGCCACAACTAATTATTGTTGTTATAGTATAGTGGTGATTATGAGCTTGTCGCATTCAAGTACTTTATTTTCGGAAAGAACAGGAATCATGAAGGACACTAGAATTTATTCTTGCCTATTAATTGGGAAAATCTTATTAAAAGACAAAATTATATTTAGTGTCCCCTTCAGTGACAACCATACAAACATTTACAGCAATATCTTTGGCCATACAGGCTATTTTTCAAAGTGTGTAAAATATATACACACTTATATGTTCACAGTTATATTTTCACGCTTCAATTGCTTGGCACCATAGTTCCAGTGAAAATGGAGAAACATTTCCATTCCATAGTTCCACTATTCTATGGAATGGAGAAACATTCCATAGTTCCACTATTCTTATTCTTCTTGTGTTATTTTAGGCATCACATCACAAAAATTAATCAATTACATTCGTCTAATATCCTGGCAAACAATGTCAAATATATTCACCTCTATTATGAAAGTTCTGATAATGAAGTTCTGTTTAGTCCTAGAACCGTATTCTGGAAAAATGTGGGCCAAATATTTTGATTTATTAAAAAAAAAAATACTTCCCTTGATCTGAGTGGTACAAGACTTAGCTTTTTACTTTTACTAAGTTTGCCTCCTGAACACACACAATTTTTTTTTTACTCAATTCTACAATGTTAAGTGGGTGAAAAAAAAACAAACTCTTTAATCTTGTATTTGGGTCAAAAATGGGCACCCATAGAAATGAACAGGAAAAACTGTAATTTAGAGCATTCTAAAATAAGCCAAAACCAGGTGACAGCAAAGTCACTTATTGAACTCTAAGAACTTATTGGAATGATATTTTAATGTAGTTAAAACAACAAAAAAGCATATAAGCATAATTTACATAGAAAATATGGTACTTTTTGAAGTAAATAAATTCAAATATATCCCCAAAATTAAAAAAAAAAATGGATAAACAAAACTTTATTGAAGACAGTGATATAACATTTATAATAGGGCTGTGCAAAAGTTAATTGCGATTAATCGCATCCAAAATAAAAGTCTGTTTTACATAATATATTTGAGTGTGCTGTATATAATTATTTTGTATATATAAATATCTATGCATGCATGTATATATTTAAGAATTATTTGCGCTTAAATTCTGTATATATATATAAATACATAATCTATATTCTATAAATATAAATATTTTATATAGGAATAACACATTTTCTTAAACATATACATACATGTGTGTGTATTTATATATACAAAATAATTATATACAGCACACACAAATATACTATGTAAACACAGACTTTTATTTTGGATGCGATTAATCGCAATTAACTTTTGCACAGCCCTAATTTATAATAAATAAAAATTAGGATCACACCTGAGTCCTCTGTGCCCACATTTGTCCACAATTGGCTTTATGCACAGCTGCACTACTTCCCGAACTTCAGCCAGCTCCTTGTTTCCTGTCTGCCATTATTGGACAAATTGATTAATTCAGGTGTGCCTGACCTCAGTAGTAACGGGAACAATATCAGACACACTTGAATTAATCAAGTTTGTCCAATAATGGCAGACAGGAAACAAGGAGCTGGCTGAATTTCAGGAAGTAGTGCAGCTGTGCACAAAGCCAATTACAGGATTAAGTGCTATAAAGTGAATACGGTTTGATGGCTACTTATGATTACATTAACATGAGGTACAACAGGCTAACACGTTTCTGAGAACATTCATTTTGACAGGTCTTGAGTTTTGCAGGTCACTGGATGTAGTGTATATGTGTTTTCTGTGCCACTTACAATACCACTGAAGTGGTCCCATGGCCTGCTGGGCAACAACCAACATGTCATCAGGCATAGTTGGGATGAATGAAGCCTGTGAGGAGAGAACATGACAGAGATATCACAACTCGGTCACATTCCTGTCACCATGTGACTCCATGATGTGAGGGTTCGTACCGTCATGTTGTTTGGGGACAGTGCCAGTCGCTGCAGTGGCTGCAGTAAAGGCAGATTTCCACACAGCAGGACTGCAGCCATATGAACTGTGACCTCCACCAGCACAAACTCTCTGCCTGACGTCTGCGCTTGAACACGCAGAGCATGCAGGCGATTGTTCACCAGCGCTTCAGCAAACGCTCGCATTTCATCATTGACGAAGACGTCTGAGCCTCTGATAAAATCTCCAAGGCCAGCACATTGCTACAGAAAAACAAACGCAACATGAATATCAGGCATAGGGATACACAAGTTTCTGATCATGCCTAAACACAGAGGGTCCAAGTATTCATCGGTGTAATACTGTAAATGCTTTTTGAACTGGGGTCCAAACCGAGTTTTGAATTCTGGTGTTCACAAGACATCATGCTCTTTAATCGCAAAACATGAAACAATAACAATAAAAGAAATTCCCCATATGACATATTATGATAATTCCCCATTTGACCTTTAACCATGGCCTTTTCTTATTAATTATTATTCTTTTGAAACATCTATAAACCGTTTTTCCAAGGTGATGAACTTTTACAGCTTGTTGTTGGTGTTTTTACCTCAGGTTTAGGGTGCATGTTTCTGTTTGCACTTCTGTACAGGGAGGTGACTTCTCTGAACAAAGCCATTAGCAGATACACAGCTTTCTTCATGGGTGTGCAGTTGCAATCCTTCAAACAAAGAGGTTTTGTCAACGGATCAGCACCAATAAAGCAGTTTAACAAAGTGAGGCAGAGAAATGCCAAGAATTGGACTGCATAAAGAGCATTTAATTACAGTGTTCAGTGTAGACATAATTGCTCAGTTCCAATCCCTAGTGAATCGCCTCACTACTGTCTAACCAGCTGCCAGGGTCAGAAATAAACTTTTCTATTAAGGATCAATTTTTATTATTACTACATTAACTGTATCTGTGCTCTCTATTACTTGAATTTAACCAATTACTTTAATCAATCAGAGAACTATATGCTACAAATACAATTTTACCAACATCCATTACACTGGAAATAGATATTAATAATGAATGGTTTTTGAGGTTCAAATCATCATATTATACTGATATCTGAAGGATCATGTGACACTGAAGACTGGAGTAAGGATGCTGAAAATTCAGCATTTTTACCAAAGGAATAAATTAATTAATAATTTTTTTATTAAATAAATGCATCCTTGGAGAGCAGAAGAGACTTCTTTCAAAATCATTACAAAAATGTAACATTTCCAAACTTTTGACAGTATGTTTCACTGTATGATTGTTTATAAGATTGTAAAAGGTGGTATTAAATGTGTTAACACAACAACTGCATAGATGTAAATAGCCTAGATGAAGTACATAAATGATCAAACTAAAAAACAGAAACTAATGGCTGGGTATTGCTGCAATGATATGATCATGATCAAAATCATGATAGTCAATTATTGCTCTTGATATTGAAGATATTTTTAGCTCCGGCTCATATGAACATCTCCAATTGGCCACGCATTCATAAGCTCAACAGAAACGTGATTAGTTTCGATAAGATAATTCATAAGATTGCAGAATTTAGCCATTGAGCGCAAGTACTGAACAACTCCAGTGTTTTCAGTGGTGACTCGTATAAACACCCCTGATTACCAATTTCATTCATACCAGAAACATCAACAGATATATGTGTGATTGGTTAGAATGCTCAACACGTTGTGTTTCACTGTGTGTGAGAGTGTGTGTGTGTGCAAAGGAGTAAATAAATACCTCTATGGCTTTCTGTATTCCATTCATGTTGCAATCCAGCATGGCTTTGGCTACGGCATCTCTAATAATTTTGTAGTTCCTTCCACATGCTAGATACTGGTCAATCTGGCTGTCATCTTGATCCTGAGAGAAATAAATGTATCGGTTAAAGGACAACATAAGCACAAATACTCAAATCAGCATTATGAAATGAATTCAACTAAAACCCACCGACTCCAGGATCTCCTGAGGAAACAGCCACCTGAAGCTTTCCTGAGGCAGGAGTTTCTGGACGTACTCGACGCCGTGAAGACTGCAGATCTTTCTGATGAGGTAAACCCTGTACCAGTCATTCCTACTCCTGCTGCACAGGTCAACCACACTCTTCAAAAACTCTCGGCCGGAAGCCGAAGGATCATCGTGTACACCTAAAACGAGAAATCCAATATCAATACCAAAGATTTCTCAAGGTCGTAAATGAAGGTTCATTTTCTTTATGCACAATATAACTGTCGATTTTTGGGACTTGGATATGTTCCTGAGATCATGTCAGGCACTAAATGAATTAAAGGTGCAGTGTGTAATGTTGAGCGGCATCTAGTGGCGAGGCTGCGAACTGCACCCAACAGAAGTTACGGTGGCCAAGAGGAAGTGATGTCGTCGTCTGAGACAGCAGAGAGTAGCCAGTTAAGCAATGAGGTTTCTTTACAAAGATAAATTAAGAAATTTGGTTTATTTAATTATTCAGTAAAACGATATGCTATTGCGAATATTATTGTTACCTGTTCATCATTGTGTCAGTGTTTTATTCGTTTCTTTGCACGAAGAACAACATAGTGACGAAACGCGTTTGTCCGTTTAGGGCCACCGTAGAAACCGTGTGTAGAGAGAAACGGCTCATTCTAAGCTAATAAAAACATAACTGTTCATTGTGTAAGGTCTTTACACACCACTGAAAACATAACTATGTATATGATATTTCTGTCAACAGATCCTCCTAAATATTACACAATGCACCTTTAATAGAAAGTTTAATGACCAGCATTTTTTAAAGGACGAGTACTAAAGACTTGCATTCAGCAGCACCTCTGTTGACTAGCAGGTCAGCGGCCACATCCAGGTCCAGCCGGACCCTGGCCACGCGCTGCAGGTGCTCTATAGACGCGGTGTGTGAAGACACGGAGGCAGAGCCAGCGAAGTCCAGCAGAAAGAGCATTTCTTCCTGCAAACAGGCCTGCTGCTCCGCCACAGAGTGCCACTGCGTGCGGTCGTACATCGAGTCCTGCACACACACAAGAGGAACTTGCTGTACACATAACCAGACTTAAGCCACAAATCAGTGTTTTAATACAGATTCATAAGGCAGTAACAAAAATACTATGCAAGTTAATCGGCAACACTTTACAATAAGGTTCATTAGTTAACATCAGTTTATGTATTAACTATCATGAACTAACAATGAGCAATACATTTGTTACTGTATTTATTTATTAATGCTATTTAATACAAATATAATGGTTCATTGTTTGTTCATGTTAGTTCAACATTAACTAATGTTAACAAACACAACTTTTGATTTTAATAATGTATTAGTAAATGTTGTATTAGTAAATGTTGAAATTAATATTAACTAAGATTAATAAATTCTGTAGAAGTATTGCTCATTCTTAGTTTATATTAACTAATGTATTTTATCAATGTTAACTACTGAACCTTATTGTAAAGTGTTCAGTGTTATTGTAAACAGTTCATATTAATTGCACACACTACCAAAAAAAAAAAGTCTTAATCAGTAAAAATCAGCCTTAAAAGAATACATTTTCTTTAGAACTTATATTCTCTTTACATCTTAAATCATAAACTTCAGAACTCTTAGTTAGGGTTATGCTTAAATTACAAAATACACTTACACTAACAGTCACACTAAACTAAATGTATTGTTTACATAGACTAAAATAATTTTGATCTAAATGTTGCTTGAATTTTAAATGAAATGAGTGAGTTTGAGTGGATTGTGAAGGAAAAGCATTAAAGTTTTCAGCAAACATGTAAACTCTTCCAATACCTCTTCTAAGAGGTATTTGGAAATCTGGAAAACTAAGCTGTCAAATATGGCAAGCGAACGGAGTTGGTGACGGCTGTGGTATACGCACCTCCAAACAGTTTATGTACAAGGAATAAAGCTCAGTTTTATCAGTCTCCTCGATGATGTTGCTTTGCTCAACCTCTGTCAGATGCCGCTGAAGATAGAGCTTCACATCATCAAAGCTGAAAGAGGAAAAGGCAATGATTATTACACACTTATATATATATATATATATATATATATATATATGTATAAATAGTATACCCTTATTCAAAGTAGGGGTGTAGGAAAATTTTTTTTAAAAATCGATACACTTGAGTATCACGATATTTTGTTTTGTAATACTGTTTTGATTTTCAAAAACGCAATAACGATTGTTTTAAATTTTCATTAGTTTAAGTACAAAAATATTCATGGTAAGACACGTAAGACAATCATGCAGTTTGTAAACCATTCAGACACTCAGTTAAGCGAACAGCAAGCTAAACGAGTCGACCCCTCACAACTCACCCTTGCTCAAGTTCAAACGCACAAATTACCAACGACTTCAACTCGTGCAACAAATAACCCAGTCGGTAGCTTGTTTCATTTGTAAAGACATGCGCCCGCTCAGTGTGGTTGAAAACGAAGGTTTACGTTAAATGGTTCAAACAATACATTTAGTAGCGTTTAGGAGCGTTACATGCAACCCGATCACACTAAATCAACATGTTAGCACGCATTGCGTTTATCGTCCAATTTATAAGCGAAATTCGTTTTTACATGCATACGATATGCATGGGTAGTAGTGTCGGGTGCGAATTATACGTTGGGTAGGATTAGTGGTGTGGGGAGCGTGTGTATTACACGCAATAAATTTAGTTCCTCTAAATCCCAATGTACTCGTTACATCATAAGAAGAATGGCATCTACGCTAATTTGAGTGTCTTTGTTCGTCCCGAGGTTTTCCCGCAGCCTGCCATATCCAGGCCTTATCCAGATCTGAACAGGAGCTTAGCCTGGACCCGATGACAACGCAGTGCTGAAGTGCCAACTAGCCTCTCCCTATGGAGGATCCCTATCCTACTCTACAGATAAAGCGTTGTGAATTCGTTTCGCATACCTACACTGAAGTGATAAAATAAAACAAAATTCTGTATCAAATTTATAGACGAGACAAGTACCGTATTTTCCGCACTATAAGGCGCACTTAAAAGCCTTTAATCTTCTCAAAAAACGACAGTGCGCCTTATAATCCGGAGCGCCTTATATATGGATCAATTAGTTAACAACACTCCGCTCCGCACTCGTGTCCATCTTATGCCTGCTTTGTCACACAGCCAGTTCAACCTCGTATAAATCAGGTTATGTGTGTCTCCCGCTCATGAGCGCTTACTCTTAACACACACACGAACAGACACACTGTCCCCGGCGCTGCTCGCGCATCACAGAATGTTCATAAAGTGCTCCCCGTTCACTGGGTTGTCTCATTCAAAACAGCCAGCCGTTGCTGTCAGCGAGCCGCCGCACATTGAATACTCATATGAGTCAGGCTGCGAATGTATGTTATGTGCCCGCACCAGCACGCTCACACTAATAAACGCCTCACCTCCGGCACCGCGCACTCGCTACATTCCCAGCACATCTAGTGGATGCATACGTTTGACTGCATTATCTTGTGTGCCTCATCATCCGGTGCGCCCTATATATGAAAAATGTTCTAAAATAGGTCATTCATTGAAGGTGCGCCTTATAATCCGGTGTACCTTAAAGTGCGGAAAATACGGTAGTTTGTTCAGGCAAATCCGGCCTCTAGTTCATAAACGCCAGAGGAGAACTGGACCCCGACTGATCCTGGGTTCTCCAAAGGTTTTTTTTTTCTCCATTGGGTTGCCTGATGTAGTTTTAGGACACCATTGCGTCACCTGATGGACTTTTAAGACACCATTGGGGTCACCTGATGGAGTTTTATGACACCATTGGGTCACTTGACGGAGTTTTGGGACACCATTGGGTCACCTGATGGAGTTTTAGGACACCATTGGGTCACTTGACGGAGTTTTGGGACACCATTGGGTCACCTGATGGAGTTTTAGGACACCATTGGGTCACCAGGTGGAGTTTTAGGACACCATTAGGTCACCTGATGGAGTTTTAGGACATCAATGGGTCACCTGATGGAGTTTTAGGACACCATTGGGTCACCTGATGGACTTTTAAGACACCATTAGGTCACGTGATGGAGTTTTAGGACACCATTGGGTCACTTGATGGAGTTTTAGGACACCATTGAGTCACCTGATGGAGTTTTAGGAGACCATTAGTTCACTTGATGGAGTTTTAGGACACCATTGGGTCACCTGATGGAGTTTTAGGACACCATTGGGTCACCTGATGGAGTTTTAGGACACCATTGGGTCACTTGATGGAGTTTTAGGACACCATTAATTCACTTGATGGAGTTTTAAGACACCATTGGGTCACTTGAGGGAGTTTTATGACACCATTGCAGGCCCGTCGCCAAGGGGGGGCATTGGGGGGCAGTGCCCCCCCAAACGACTTACTGTGCCCACCTACGCATGAGCTTAACAATAGATGTTACTATGTATATGCTAATAATTATATCGAACAGAGCTCGGTCTTTCTGCATAACTTATCTCACAGGAACGGTAAGCTCTACAACGGTAGGAATGTATAATACATTATCTTCAGAAATGATTTAGAAATTCATTATTCAACGCATTATTACACAGAACGTAACTTGAAATATAATTATTTTCATAAATGACTGTTAAAACATCCCAAAACAGCACCCAAACCTTGCAAAGACCTACCTCATTAATTATTCACATTCAACAGCCAATGGCAAGCCTCCAGCAGCAGACCTTTCAATTTGTTATTTTTGTGTTAGTATTTTTACTTCTTCAAATTACAATATGCAGTTTGTGTTTAAGGATAAATAAATAATACAAACAATGCAATTTATTTAGTTAAGCATACAGTATTGTTTATACGTAATTCCTTTGCGCAGCTGCGCAGTGCATGCGATGCGAGAATCAAATTCTGGTGGTTTTGTATAGTCGGTTTTGTACGCCTACAGCAAAGCTTATGCTAAGTGGTTTAAAGTTTCGTCGTTGACAAAGACGACTTTTGACCAACAACAACGTGCGTGGAAACGACTTTGGAGCTAATTAGATGGTAGGAACAGACAGTATAAGAAAGGTAAGAATAGAGAATTTGTCTGCTACATTGCTAAATTTGTATTGCAGTATGTTATGCATTGCTTTTATTATTGCTGTATTGTTGGTGGAAACCAGGTGCTTTTGTGACTCATTTTTATGAAGTGTAGAGTCATAAATCAATTTGGTTTTGGCGTAGTTTTACTTAGTTTGGACTTTGGACTAATGATATTACGTTGATTGCGCCTTTTACAAGAAAGCCACTAGATGGCACTGTGTTGTGTATGTGACGAACTATGCAGATTAACCAAAAATATAGGCTACTAGGCTAGCAAGCTATATGTGGAAATGACGCTGAGATCATACAGTGAAGTATTTTATTTAAATAAAATGAATAAAACAAGACTATTGTGGTCTATTTTAGTTGAAGCCTAATATGGGTTGTTGTTTTGGTCTGTCTCAGATCATTAAAAAAAGTGTGCCCCCCTATGAAAATTAAATGCCCCCCCAATTGGTTTGTTCTGGCGACGGCCCTGCACCATTGGGTCACCTAATGGACTTTTAAGACACCATTATGGCACTTGATGGAGTTTTAGGACACCATTGGGCCACTTGAGGGAGTTTTAGGACACCGTTGGGTCACCTGATGGACTTATAGGACACCATTAGGTCACTTAATGGAGTTTTAGGAAAACATTGGGTCACTTGAGGGAGTTTTAGGATACAATTGGGTCACCTGATGGAGTTTTGGGACACCATTAGGTCACTTGACGGAGTTGGGTCACCTGATGGAGTTTTAGGACACCATTGGGTCACCTGATGGAGTTTTAGGACACCATTGGGTCACCTGATGGAGTTTTGGGGCACTATTAGGTCACTTGATGGAGTTTTAGGACACCATTGGGTCACCTGATGGAGTTTTGGGACACCATTAGGTCACTTGATGGAGTTTTAGGACACCATTGGGTCACCTGATGGAGTTTTAGGGCACCATTGGGTCACTTGAGGGAGTTTTAGGACACCATTAGGTCACCTGAAGGAGTTTAGGACACCATTGGGGTCACCTGATGGAGTTTAGGACACCACTGGGTAGCCTGATGGAGTTTAAGGACACCATTGGGTCACCTGATGGAGTTTAAGGACACCACTGGGTCACCTAATGAAGTTTTAGGACACCATTGGGCCACTTGATGGAGTTTTAGGACACCATTGGGGTCACCTGATGGAGTTTAGGACAACACTGGGTCGCCTGATGGAGTTTTAGGACACCATTGGGTCACCTGATGGAGTTTAAGGACACCACTGGGTCACCTAATGGAGTTTTAGGACACCATTGGGTCACTTGATGGAGTTTTAGGACACCATTAGGTCACCTGGTGGAGTTAAGGACACCATTGGGTCACCTGATGGAGTTTTAGGACACCATTGGGTCACCTGATGGAGTTTTAGGACACCATTAGGTCACTTGATGGAGTTTTAGGACACCATTGGGTCACTTGAGGGAGTTTTAGGACACCATTGGGTCACCTGATGGACTTTTAGGACACCATTATGGCACTTGATGGAGTTTTAGGACACCATTGGGCCACTTGAGGGAGTTTTAGGACACCATTGGGTCACTTGATGGACTTTTAGGACACCATTAGGTCACTTGTTGATGGAGTTTTAGGACACCATTGGGTCACCTGATGGAGTTTTGGGACACCATTAGGTCACTTGATGGAGTTTTAGGACACCATTAGGTCACTTGTTGATGGAGTTTTAGGACACCATTGGGTCGCTTGAGGGAGTTTTAGGACACCATTAGGTCACCTGATGGAGTTTAGGACACCACCGGGTCACCTGATGGAGTTTTAGGACACCATTGGGTCACCTGATGGGAGTTTTAGGACACCTTTGGGTCACCTGATGGAGTTTTTCGGTTCCTTGCCACTGTTGCCTTTGGCTTGCTCTTTTGGGGATATTCAAATTAATTAACCAATCAGTAATATCCTTGATCAGTTCTACCGAACATGGATGTTTTTCTACTAAGAAACGAACATTGTTATTATGTTTTGATTGATACTGTGAAGCTGCTTTGATGAAGCGCTATATAAATATACTTGACTAGAAACATGGGATTTCATTATTTCACTCTCTTCAACGTTCCTCACTTACTTTCTTTCTGCAACTGTTTGAATGCGTGAGTTAATGTGATATTAGTTTCTGTGTATTACAATAGTTCAATAACTATATTTAAAAATATGTCTTTTGTTATGTGCTTATGAATGTAATGTAATTAAACTGCGGATCTTGTTGTCTAATTTTTACACTGAAACTGATTGCCCTTTAAGTGAAACTCAAAAAAAAATGTAGGGCACTTCCAGCATCAGAATTGTGTATTTTGAACTCAGTTTGTGTTTGACCAATAAGACTTAAGTTAAAACCAACAAAACTGTCCTTAAACTCAACTCAAATACTTTGTGTAGCAGAAAAATAACTCAATTGACCCTTCACAGACAGTTTGATTAATAGGCAATCTGAACAATCATAATCCGCCATCCGCTGAATCCGCCATTTTTGCCCGACAAAGCAGTCAGGAGATCTAGTAGATTAACATTGGAGGATATGAACTTGAAAAACGGTGTGTACTGACATCTTTCCGCAGTTAAACCAACATTCCTTCTGATGTTCATTCATGTTTATTTGATGCTATAAATGAACTAGAAGGAAGAGAGTTCAGGAGCTGCATTAACTGAGACTCTACAGTGTCTGTCAAACACATTAAAGAGCCACAAAACGGTATTGCTATATGTTAGTAATACCAACAAAACTTTCCTTGTAAACTCAACTCAAATACTTTGTGTAGCAGAAACATAATTCAATTGAGTTACAGTAACAGAAGTGGCAATTCCTTATGTATTATTCAACATATTAACGAAATATTATCAATCAAACAATTTCATATATTGACCATAATTATAAGGAAATATAATATATTACATATTATGTTCTTTGCGTAAGGGTATGTCCTGCACTCACCTGTATTTGAGCAGGAGTTTCAGCACCACTGAACGCACCACTGGGTTTTTATCCACAGAGTCATCGAAGGGAGAAAGAGCCTTAGTCAGGAACCTGCGGTCTTGCCCTGAGAGCATGAGAAACAGCGTTATGATCATTTATTCATTTATTCCTCCACACATACACAGTACTAGCAGACGTACCTCTGATCTGAGGCAGCGAGCAGGCCTCGACCATCAGAAGAGACAGCAGGTGGAGAATGATGTCTTTGCTGGGAGGAGTGTTGTCCTTGAAGCACACGCTGGACACCAGGTCAATGAAGAAAGCATTACATCGCATTTTGAACAACGCGTTTTGATTGATGAGACCCCTAATGACCAAAACAAGCACACAATCTTTTAGACTGACAGAGAGAGATACGGGTCAAGTCAGCTTTATTTATACAGTGTGTTTCAAAGCAGCTTCATAGAGATAACAGGAAAATAATGCAACAATGTTTGATTCTAGAAGAAAGTAGCATCACAGTCCAGCTTACGTAAGTTCAGTGTTGTTTCATTTCTGTTGTAAAAAAGTTATTAATTTAGTTTATTTATATATATAGCCACTCTGGAGAGACAGTGATGCCATCGTCCAGCTCAACTCAGTTCTCATGTAATGGTGTCAATGCAGGCAGATCAATATTATTGTTGAATATTAAGCACAGACAACTATTAGATTACCGTATTGCATCCGAGGCCTTGAGCTCAAAGGTGTCCGGCACTTCTTGTACACACAGAGGGCAGTGCATCTGACCGGGCACCAGCCACTGCTTGATGCAGGTCAGGCAGTAGATGTGGTCACACGGCAGACTCAAGGGGTCCCGAGGGTCTCCCATGCACACTGGACAAAGCTGAACGCCAAACCTGGGGAAACAGACAGAAGCGGTGTTTACATGGACCCTAATAATTTGTTTGTAAGCACTGTCCAAACAAAAGCTGCTTGGAACCACGTCAATCACAATAAATTGTTCAAATCAAACTGAAATTGTATTCAGATTGTTAAGGGATGGTTACACTTTATTCAAGGTGTCATTGTTACAGTGTAATTATATATTTCAGTGCAGAGTAATAATAAGCAACTACATGTACTTACTATAGGGTTAGGGTAGGATTAGGGTTTGGTTGAGGGTTAGTTGCATGTAATTATGCATAATTCACTGTTATAACTACGGTAAGGACATGTAACATATGTAACAAGGACACTGTAAAATAAAGTGTCACCAAACATTTCTCTGAATCTCTTCAGTGTGCACATGTCAAAAGATCAAATCCCATTTGAAGCTTCTGACACGCACATCAACCTGATCACTTTACTTAGCGTTCATGTAAACACTACGTTTGGATTTATCAATGAGAATGGTTTCATTGTGATTGAAACTACTATGTAAATGTAGCAAGAGACAAAAAAGATAACTAAAATCAAATCAAACCTAAAAATGCTCTGAGACGCTTCATCTTTGCAGGCTTTGAGTACGGTGATCACTGCCTCAAACGGCTGCTTCTTCTTGAGGTCCGAGTTCTTCTCCAGGACCTTTGGCACACAGATGAGTATTGATGAATAGTTCCTTCAGGAGTTTAATTTCAGCTTGAGGAAGGAGTGTAAGTGGACTCACTTGTGCTAGGCGTCGAGTATGTTCCAGAACCAGTGGCCTGAGTTTCAACTGCAGCTCTCCAACACCCAAAAGCATGTGCTCCACAAACAAGGCCAGAGAGTAGATGCGTTGCCAGCCTCGTCTGAAAATGAATAATACAATGATCATTCATGATAATATTGATAAAGTACAGTAAATGATCTGAACTAAACTGGGAATGCCTGTGGTCAAATAATGTTGTGGAAACCGGGAGTTTTCGAAGTCAAACCGATGATCTACAGTATCTAATGAAGAGGTACAGAGCGACACGTCCCACACAAATAGACTGACAACAGCTACAGGAGCTATCATGAAATGAATGTATTAGTGCTGTCAAACGATTAAAATATTTAATCGCGATTAATCGCATTAATGTCATAGTTAACTCGCAATTAATCGCACATTTTTATCTATTCTAAATGTCTCTTGATTTCTTTTTGTCCCACTATTTTTTCTCTCATTTTAACACTCTTATCAACATGGAAAAGTGGATCGGCTTGCTTTGTGCAATTGTTTTAATTTTTTTTAACAACATTGGCATACTGTGTTCAATTTCACACTAACATTCTCACTTGGAGCAAATAATCTCTCACATAATGCGACACTGTCCATCAATAAAAGGGTGAAAGAAATACTGACGAGGTCCGGATATTGACGAGGGGGCGGAGAATTCGCATCATCTGTGTGTGTGTGTGTGTGCTTGGTCATCATCAAGCGGTATTTCAGACAGGACGTGCTGCGATGATGATAGCTCAGGTCACAACGACAAAACACACAGATCACTTTGGTCTTATCAATGGAACCATAGATATCTATATAATGGCTAGATGCGTCACGGTGGAGTATTTATCGTCATCACCGGCGGCCATCTTGTCACAGACAGGCTTTCTGGCGGGCTCTGTGGTATCTGATGTAAGAAATACTCTTATCTCCTTGAAATCTTGATGGATTTATAAACGGTTTGGTTTCTTACAAACGTTATTAACGTGGCTATAATTCTGGATGATTATTTATTTATACACTTATTATTCATAGGTATGCAGTATCATAACTACATCTCTGCCGTTTATAACAAACCAGACCGTTTGAAAATCTGTAGAAAATTGAGCAAGTTATGGTGATTTAAAAAATACATGCAACGAGTGTGTGCGGTGTGCCTGTTGTTTTATTTCCAGTCTAGCTAGATCCACTTGTGCTTTGGTCGACAAAGCAACAAAACATCCTCGTACGGTGCAAGCCATTGAAATTAATGGGTTTCATAGCGCAGCGCCGTGCATGCCGCGTCCTATTGCAAAAGCACGTGAAAGAAAACTACAAAGTTTGCTAGGCCAAAAAGATCATTAATCACGCGATAAAAAAAAATTGACGGCGTTAAAATGGGTTTGCGTTAATGCCGTTAATAACGTGTTTAACTGACAGCCCTAGAATTTAACAAAAATATACAGATAACACGTTACTTGTAAAAACATTGATGATAGGACAACAATAGCTTATAATAACTCACTGGATGAGGGAGACCATCTGTTTGCTTTTCTCTCCGTAGTGGCGAACGCTCTCCTCACAGCAGACCAGCTCAATCGGCACCTGCAGCTTCTTCACACGCCTGAGCCAGGCCAGACTCTCGGCATCTTCATCTAGAGTCTGGGGCTCCAGGTATTCAATACAGGCCATAGCAGCGTACACATCTAACACCTGAGAGACAGAGGGACGTCAGGGGACGCAACCAAACACAACATCCCTGAATATGAGCTTTCATGCAAACCTTTGAAGAAGAAGAAGGTTGCAAGCACTTACAAGTTCTCTGCCCTCTCTTGCAGGTTTGTTATATTGCAGCATCTGAGCTATCTGAGGCTGTATACTGATCATCCGGTTGAGGTTCTGTATTCGGTTCTTGAAGTGATGGTAGGCAGCATGAACCCACGGCAGAGAAATGACTTCACCTTCATGTGCTTCCTCACCATCTCTAAGCTCATGTACACCGCAAGTAAGGGCTCCACACAAGAGCTAAAATGTAAAGACACACATATCAACACATGAACAAGTGTATAACGTGCAGATGCATGTTTGAAAGAGTGACTCTCACCTCGAGGTCCACGTTCGATATTACATTCATGGTCATGGAGACGAAATCCTGGAGATACCTGTGGAAAAACTCCATCTGCATCTCTTGGGATGCTTCAGAGATGTACCTGCCCAAGGGGGTCTTCCAAAAAAACTCTTCAAACTGCTTTAGAGAGTGTCCTGGTGAAAGAAACGCAAAGAAAGCATTTATTGATTACTTTTTACTGTAAATAAAAGAGTTAAAAGAATGAGGAAACTGTGAAAATGTTTTTTTTTGTCCTCAAGAAAACTATGCACACTGATTAGATGGTGCGTTCTATTATTCATCCTTCTCGGAGATCCGAATCGGACGACAGACGTTGCCTAGCAACACGCCCCCTTTCCTCGGATTTCACCTCTCGGACGTCGGACAACCGTGAGGACACCGAGCAAGAATTCCGTTTCGGAATTCAAGATGGCTGCGCTCTGTGACTTAAGAATGAATTCTTTTCATTGTTTTTGAACCGCTTTGGTATTTTAAATGACGATTATAATCACTCGTATTACTGCGTCCCCTGTAGGTATGGGAATCGGTTGTTGTGAGTGCAATTACTAACGTTGCTAGCGTTGCTAACAGAAGATTAACATGAAAAATATTAAATAAAGTGAATATTTTCACGTTCAATGGCTGCGTTTTGATAAGGTGTAGTCATATTTTTTTTTTTTTTATGTAAGTGCCTGGTACTCGGCCAGTGCTACCATTATAACAGCTTTCCGGGTGGCGTCCATTTTTTTTTTCCGACTCGGACACGCAAAACATAATAGAACGCTTGAAGTGTGGACTTGACGTCAAATCCGAGGTCCGAGTCGGTTCGTTGGCTATAATAGAACGCACCATAAGCTTGATTGCTCAGGAAAAAAAAGCGATTAAGCAAAAATACCTTCTCGCTGCAAAGCATGTACCCAGAGGTCCTCTAGACAATCTTTAATTCTCCAGCTGAAAGGCATGGTGCAACCCATGTTCCTGTCAACGGCAATGTAGTTCTGAACCAAGATCGTCGAGCTGTTAAGAAGAAGTGTTTTCAGTTATAATAATGACATTGCTTTAAAGTCAGAAATATACTGTACCAAACATGTCCACACCAAGGCATAAGCAATGCGTTGTCAGTATGTGATCCTGTTCTCCACTAGAATACTAGAATACTGTACTAGAATAGCCTATGCTTTCATGTTTGATTGTTCCAAAAAATTTTTTATTATTTTTTAACATATTTTACATTATTACAGCACCGAAACGCTCGAAAAATCTAAATTTTTAATTAGGGATGCACCAATACCACTTTTTGCAGAACGAGTCCAATACTGATACTTTCATTTTTGGTACTCGCCAATACCATAACCCATCCCTGAATTTTCACTGCATTTGTAATTTTTAAATGTATTAGTAAATACACCAAAAGAATAAAAATCATATTAGTTGGCTTAATTTGTTCATCAAATATATATTTCCTTCAGTTATTTTCATGCTTAATTAAGCCTATGAACTTTTGTTCCTGTCACTGTTCATTCTATTGCTCGATCATATTTGATCTTTCATTTAGCACAGCACATACTGTATTTAGTCAGTGGTACAAATGTTTAGACTTACAAATTACAAATATATACAATAGAACAAAGAAAGGCTACAAATAAACCGTGTTTTCAGAGTTTTTCAGGTAGATCTAACAGGTACAGAAATTTGAATAAAGTAAATATTCATTACTATATAAATTAAATATAGATGGATCTTTTTGTAAAGTTGAAAAGGGTAGCCTATTTATTTAATCAAGAGCAGCGAGTATTTTTTGTCCTTTGCCTGATTAACATTAAAACACGGCAGCAGGTTTATTAAAGAGCTGCCCCTTTAAGACCGAATGCACAGACCCCATTTGAACATACGTTCACTTGATATAACCAGAGCCCGTCTAACTGAGAGCCTTGGCACTCCCTATTAGCCCCAATTGTGTATTATCCTGGTTGCAGTTCCATTAGAATTCCACTGGAGGTGATCGTGGGCGAGTGCAGAATGAATGGGAGTCTATGGGGCTAAACGGCTAAATGTGTCTCTATCACCTTGTCGTTGAATCAACATAGATTTTATTGTTGATTCCGCAAGTTCAATATAGATTATAGGCCAAAAGTCGAATGAACGAGTACTTATGTCCTTTTGATTTCTTACAGGTTAGGCTGTTGTTGGCTGGAACACGCTCTGCTATTGTGTGACGTCATCACATTTTTGAACGGATTTTTAGAACATATAAGTGAACTTAAAAATGCAATTTTCAGCTTAGTGTATTTTCTTAGCCCTCCCTTTTGAATGCAACTTTCAAATTACTTGACAAAAAATTACATCCTGAGAAAAGTGGATTTCTGGGGGTGAAACCCCATTGACTCCCATATTCTGCAGTGACCGCGAGCGCCCCCGCATGGACAGAGACACGTTACTGCAGCCAGTCCAGAACCCGGAAGTAACCAGCCAGTGCCAATTCTCTTCAATTAGACATTCTCTGATATAACCGACTTTGTTTACTAGGATACTCGCCAAGAAGGGCGTTTTTACATAATTTTGTGTTTAAATTTGTTTATTTGATTTGCCATCGACAAGCTGTGCCGCTGCATATGCGCTCAATTCACTGCGCATGTTTCTATTATCAACTCGCGCGCCAAAACGGCTACTATATTGCGTTTGATATTCCACTAATTAAATACATTTACTTCATAGACAGCCTTCTTTTTTATCCCCATTATACTTTTCTGTTATGAGTGTTTATTGGTCCGGACACGCACACTGTACACACGCTGACTGGTAAGTTAGGCCTATTGTTGTTGGTATCGAGGATTATTACGAATAGGCGCTCGGTATCGGTATCCATATTTTTAATAATTCAAGCACTTTTCAAGTACTTGAAGTCTGTTTTCAACGATTTTCCAGGACTTAAATTTCTAAAAGTCAAATTCAAGTACTTCAAGCACCGTGTACGAACGCTGTTAAGACATAGGCCTACTTAAAGTTTTGATCCGCAAACAACAGATTGTCCTGATGAAGTGGGAACTGCGTCATTTCATGAGAGGCTTTTGTGCATAGCCTGCATTAGCGCTGTTTCTAGCACAGCTCAACCAGCCCTTGCATCTTTTTAGATGAAGATTATTTAAACGAGTAACATTGTGACTTCAGAAGACCCGGAAAACGTGTTTTAGTCGTTTGTTGAAGCGTATTCTGTTAAATAAAATATCTACGTTTGGAATGGATTTTGAGCTTTGTAACCTTGAATATCTTTTTTATGCTCAAACTGCAACATGCACTAATAACTAAAGTTGAAAAAGTTCAAAAGCATAATAGGACCCTTTTAACATGTTCTTGCTTTCCATTTGAGACGGTTATTTACATTGTGTTACCAAAAGGTTCAGGTTAATGAAAGGTTAATGTTAATTCGGTTAGCTAGCTAAAAAACATATCAACTTTAAATTTCTGAAATGCCAATAATGATGAAAATGCAATGCATATTTTCCTTGGATAATGAAATTGCTGTTGAAAATATTGTAGAAAAAACAAAAATAAAGCTAAGAGCATTATGGCGCTTTTCCACTATACAGTACCGGCTCGACTCGACTCTGCTCGACTCGCCTTTGTTTGGTTTTCCACTGTGTAAAAGTTGTACCTGTTCCTGCTTTCAGGTACTTTTTTTTGTACCACCTCCGGCGTGGTTCTGATCGAGCTGAGGCGAGCTAAAGCGATACGAAAATGTGACGTGAAAACAATGCCGACTGCTGATTGGTTAGAGAGAATCATCACCATTCACAGCGTCAACACTGCACGCGCCAGATGGAGTATCCAGAATAACCCCGCTATTTTTAAATAGCGGTTTGGTCAGAGATAGTTACTAAACTAACTTCTATTATTATGGTAACTCGGAAGAATACGCCGTGGTCAAACGAGGAGGTGCAGACTTTCCTTTGTTTGGTGGCCGAAGAGATGATCCTACAAGAGATTGAGAGGGCAACGAGGAAAGAAAGGCGTCGCTATGACGACCGGGTACTAGTTGTGTACCCGGTACTACTGTCTGCAATGGAAAATGGAGCGAAAAGCGAGCGAGTCGAGCTGGAACTGGTAATGGAAAAGCGGCATTAGTGAACTGGCATTTTAGGCACAAAGGCTTGCAAAATGCCTCTTGAAATCAAATTATCACATACTTGTTTTTCACATTTGTGTGAGTAACATTCAGTAACTTGACATCTCCAAAAATATTCAACCACAGTTTCTTCAAGGACTCTTCAGAGTTTGTATCCAGCAAGAGGTCTAGATTGCAGTCACGGTCAATAACTGAAACAAGCTGAGCCAAGAAGGGAGTTACTACAGCTTGAACTCGCCTCCACAGGGCATGCCTAAAAAACAAACATTAACAGATATTGAAAATAAAATTGTTTTAGGTATTAGAGATTCACAAAGAGGTAATAAGGCCTAGTCAATTCAACGAGATTCCATGTCAACATCTGAAATACAATCCAAAATACGTGTGTAATTTACCTAAAAGTTCCACCCTCTTGCAATGCATCAATATTCAGCGCTTCCTTGGAGACCCAGGTATTGGCAGAGATTGTGTTTGCATCATGAGCCATCAATAGGAAATGAATTCGCTTCTTTAATGTTTTCAGAAATTCAGCTGGTAAAATAAATACATAAATATGAGTAACCACTTACAGGACAATTAATGAAAGCTTTGAATAATAACAGAAACAGCGATAAATCTCACCTTGTAGACTCTCACTGTCAGCCAGGAGCAAGAGCAAAATTTGTACTCTCTTGGTGCTGCGGGTGCCCGCCTCGGTCTGATCTCTTAGCATGCCAACTGCACTCTGAACACAGCTACGCACCAGCGCTGTGGTGTCCACAACATTCTCCAAGCCCTGAAGAGCACAAGAAAATTACCTACTGAGTCAACCTAAGCTAACTGAATAGTATCACAAATATCCTGTGCTGAAAATACATTGCTGTCGTTGAGGTTGTGACTCGCAGTATTGTCTTCTACTTCCATCTTCTCTTCTTCTCCTTCTTCTGCGTACATTTCCTCAACCTCCATTGCTGCAAGCAGTAAAAATCATTGGATTGTTTGAGAAATTTGATAATCCCTCAAAGAAAACTCTCAATATTTGATTTGGAAAATAAACCGAATTCACCTTCAGGATCAGGTATTTTCTCTGCTTTCTCTTCAAACAACTGACTGATGGTCAGACCCTGCAAGGCTTTTATATCAGAGGCGATGTCTTTCGACTTTCTGAGGTCATCAATGTGGACAGACTTCCACGGACCTTATTATAAGAATTTTAAATTAGTTTTTTTTTTATAAAACAAACAGTTTTGGTCAATGATGAAATCGCCTCGTCTTACCGCCATGAAATCCAATGTAAGAAGTTCCACCATCCACTCTTGGCAGTTTAGTGACGAAGTACATAAAAGTCTTTACATGGCCCTCTTTCCTGAATTTGTTGATCTCATTGATAGATGAATACCTGTAAATATATCTCAGGTTCAAATCATGCTGCTTTCATTGCATTTACTGAACAAACAAATGTGCCACCAGCCACATTCAACTCACTTCGCAGATGCAATGACATTTAAACTTGGGGAGCCTTCATCAAAATCGGTTTGGATGATAAGTATCTTGTCCCCGGTGGTGTTTTCCAAATAATTTCTAAATACAGAAAAGGGGTTTTAATTTATTTAATTAAGGACAAGTGTGCTTTTTGTCGTTGTGTGAAATAATGTAGTGATGTTGTGAACACAATACTTGATTTTCTTGAGGAATGAGTGTTCAGTGTCAAACTGCTGTAGAGAGAGGAGCTCTACGTTTTGGACCACGTTCTGTAGTGGCTCAATTTCAGCTGCGGTCAGAAGCCTTGAGAAGGTGGTCACCTAAAGGATTAGTATTGCAAGTTTAGTGTACAATGTTTTTTCTTGCAAAGATGTTACAAGAGCAGTGGTTCTCAACCTTATTGTCTCCAAAGCCCCATCTACCCCCCCTAAGACATTTCTAGTTACTTCTTAGACCTTAAAAATGACAACTGTTGAGGAAATTCATTAAAATAAGAAATATCGTTTAGATTTTTTGGTTTGGCTTATTTAAAAGGGGTGATGAACTGAGAAATCAAAATTTCCTTGAGCTTTTGAGATCTCAAGAGGTCATCATATTATATCCTATAAGTTTCAGAACTGAAAACGTCCTTGTTAATCCAATAAAAGCTTTTATTGACACCAGGCTCAGCAATGACAGGTGCAAAGAATGACAGTTTTCTGACAATGACAGTTTTCAACAAAGAAAGCTTTTATTGACACCAGGCTCCCCTGCAGAAGAAGATCAGCGCCTACTTCAACACGGTCGGTTTAGCCCTGCCCACCGATTCGTGTATTACACGCATAGCTAAATAACATAGATGCCTACCTCGTGACAAACCGGATCGAGCTACCGAGCAATACAGAATATTGTGCAGTGCCTGGTTGTGGCAGAAGACAGTCGCTGCATAAGCTTCCTCTGGATTCCAATAGGACTGCATGGATAAACTTTATTTTTAATGACGTTCCAGCCGATGAGGTAAAACATTGTCCGTCTGTTTGCTTCATTTCACTGCGTATTGTTTTGCAAACAAGACTGGATTTGCAGAGCGATTAAGAGTAAAGAACGGTGCTGTGCCGTCTATATTGGATCTTGACAGGAATGGTGCAACAGACGGACTCTGGGTCGAACATGTATGGGCGAATCATTCCGGTTGCCATTTTACAACATTGGGCATTTTCAAAACACCGATGGGTGAGTTGAAACTCATTATAATATGCAAAAATGTTATCCACTCACAGCAGTGGGCATTTACTTCCAAGTATTCAGTTCGAGACGCCCATAAAACCGAGCGTTTTTCAGTTAGGCTCAAAACTAGGGTACAAAATAGCCTATACTTATTCATTTTGATGTTTTTGAATGCAAAAACCAAGCGAACGTCATAAGTTGACCTCAGACAACAATTTAATAAAATTTAAAAAGCCAGTTCATGACCCCTTTAAAGCTTGTTTTAAACCATTTTGTCACTGCTGATTTAGAACAACTATTCTAGAGTAATAGTCAAAATATTGCTTTACCTCTGTGAAAAAGGCATGGCTAGGCCCTGCTTCTTGTATGTGGGAAAGGATGAAGTCAGCAAGGGAGCTATGCTTCTGTTCTTCAAAGTACATCCTTGACAAGTTCTCAGTTTCTACACTGGAGAGGGAAGTGCAGTCTAGCCGAACCACGGCATCTGGCGTTGCACAATTCAAAAGGATCATTTTGGCCTCATCTAAGATTTTAGGATCTGAGAGCTCCATTTCCCCTTTGAGCTGCTCTGTGACTTGCAGTACAACAGACGCACATGTGTCCGAGTGGTAGCCAATGAAAGCATCAGCTGGACGATAATGGCGTGCTTGGGGAGCAATTGGGAGCTTGCTTCTAGCAGAAATGAAAAAGTCAACCCACCCTTTAAGCTTCTCAACATGGTCCTTTTGCTCACTCTTTAGGACAGTATTGATGTCAAGATAATGTTTCTCCAATCTGTTGATCAGTGGAATGGGAAACTGCTTGTATACGACATCTTTCTCCTCAATGACGATGAGCCTGAAGTTCTTGTGGACTCTGCATTTGACTCTATGGGTTCCAAGCCCCAGATCCACATATTTCTGACCTCCAAGGGTAACGTAATATTGGTTGAGAGCATCATACAAGCTTTCGTACAAGTTCTGCAAGTTCAGAAGCACAATGGTTTGACCGGTTTCCATACAAATCTTAACACGGTTAATGTTGCGGCATATCTGAGTATACTCCTGGTCTTTTGGAAAGCTTGAACCAAAGATAATCTCTGGTTGGCATTGGTCTGCAAAAAACGTCTGCTGAAGAATTCGAAGGGCTGCATAGTTTTTGGTCAGAACAAGCAGGTATCTGCATTCCTCATCTTGGCCAATGGCTGTGATGTTATCTCTTACAAGCTCAATGGCACTGATATTCTCAAGGTTCGTTGGGATACTTAGTCTGCTGGTGAAAATTGAGACAGCATCCACATCATCCTTCCCACTGAAGTTCCTTAGCACAGCATTCACAATCTGGTCGGCCTTAGGCTTCTGATTAGAAGCTTTGACAACAGCAAACATCATCTTTATCAAGCTGTAATAGTCTCGCAGACCAAAGAAACCTCTTCCCTTTTTCCTACAGATTTTCTGGTAAGCACGGGCAAATGGCTGAAAGAATTCTCTCACCCTTTCGAGGATCATGGCATCTGAGGAACATATTCCTTTTGCACTTTCAATCAATTCCTTTTCATCGGGATCGCCACGTGAAACAAATATGCCTCTGTTCATCTTGGCTGGGTCCAAAGCCCAGTTCGAGATGCCGATGAATCCCACCTTCTTGTGAGGTACCGGCTGATCATCTATGCATCCCTCTTCCAGCAAAGGATGTAAAGTTTTCAGAGGCATTTTCTGGGAATCTTCAGCCAAGCCTATCTCATCTAGCACTACGACTGAGACATACTCTGTTAGATTCTTGCCTTCCTGAAAACGAGCACATTGCTTGAATGTATTAATGATCCCCTCTGGTGTAGAATGAGGACTGCACTGAAAGGAGACAAGATGGATCTGCTTCAGCTTTCTAAACAAATCCGAATGGGCTGCTTGGCCTTGCATGCCATCTGCAACCAGAGTTTTAGACAAGGATTTGGAGCTCCCAGGTTTTCCAACCAAAAAGAGAGGTATTCGTAGCTCAATGCAAATCACCATCATGAAGACATTTTCCTTCAAGGCATTGTTTCGAGCAATGGTTTCACCCAATGGGACTCCACTCAGAAAAAGATCCTGAATAACTGAAATCTCCTGCAGCACTGTTTTTTCGTTGTAGGTGTCTGGAAGGTACTTGCAAATTTTCCTTCTGTATTTCTCTTTATCCTCTAAGCATGCATGGTAACACACACCAACAGCCATCAGTAATGACCAAAGAATTGGGTTCGTTTCGTCAGTATTCCTCTGATTTTCATTTCTCTCTGCCCGCTGACTTCTCTCAAACTGGTCAAGCTCTGCAAGTATCATTGGGTAGTTTTTGTAGAACCAGCCAAAGACTTGCATGCAGCGCTCTACATCCCTCAGACTCACAAAACTACACTCATCCTCTCTTGTTCGCATATACTTCTGTGAGGCAGAAAGAACATCAGTGATGGTTGTGATGTAATCTGAACTAATGGAATTGGTTTCAACTACCCTTTCAACTATTTGCTTGATGTACATTTTCTCAGTATTGTCATTGAGTTGTCCAAAGTCCCAAACTAGCGGGATCATGCTAGGTGGTAAAGCCTGCACTCTGTACACTAGTTGGCGAAGTGGAATGGATCCAAGTTTTTCATCCGTTTCCTCAGCACGAACTCTGTATCCCAAACCAGCGGACTCCAATCTCTTGATCATCACGTCTGTGTGTTTTCTGTATGGGTTGCAAGCTGCGATGATTTGCAAGCCAGTGTCACCTGTCAAAGGCTGTCCATTAGCAGTGTTGTCGCAGAGGATTTCTTTAATGCTGCTAATGGCCTCTGTTGTGTTCGCTTCATCAAAAAACAACACAGACTCAAAGCCATAATCCACCTTGTTTCTTAACGCCATAGCCTCTGCTTCTCTTACTTTGGTGTTAATCATGTCTGAACTTGTCCCTCCATGAACCTTAACTAGTTTCATGTTATCAGTGTTAACTCCACATCTGTGCATCTCACAAAAGAATTTGATTAGCCTGGTCTTTCCACATCCTGTCTCACCCATGATTATAACAGGAATCCCACAGCGGAAGCGCATGTGAATTGCCAACATTTTCAATATGTTGTCTGTGGTGAGCTCGTACGTTTCATCAGGATCAAGAGGCCACTGTATTCCCAACACCCTACAAAGCCTCTCAATTTTCTCCCCTCTTTCGAGCTGGTCAAAATCAATGTTGAAAGGGACCCTCTGAAGTGTAAGGCCCTCATAGAGCTCTTTGGTCATGATGTTCTGCTTGATCACTCTTTTTGTTGATGGATCAATAGCATCAATCCCATTCTGTGCATTTGGCTGAAGATGAAAGCCAATGAATGTCATGGACTCGTGGTCATCATTGAAGAAAATGTACGGATGTGGTTCTGACTCCCATCGTTTTCTTATCCTAAAGGGAGCTAGATCCTCCTCATTGGCAGAAGAAAGGTCATTGTGCAGTATTCCTGGACTCTGGTCAGAGATGGTAAGTGAAGGAGTGGCAAAATCCTTTGCCATGAGAATCATGAAATCAACAACAAAGTTTTTGAATCCCATCAGAGTATCCCCAACGAAAGACACATCACAGAAAACCGTTCTCTCACAATCGCGAAGTTGTAAGTTCAGGAACCAGGCAAAATTACGCAACTCTGCCCAAGAGGGGTCTACGATGCCGCAGTACACAAACAACATCTGCAGGCATTCAACATGAGTGCCCTCCACTCCATGGTACATGAAGGCATCTAAATTTTCACCATTGTAGAAGCGTTTCAGGTACTGATAAGGCCGCTGGAAGGCCTCACTTTTGAACTCTTGGTCATCCATAAGGGGATCTTCATCCTCCATTATTGATGGATCTTCCTGGATTCTCATTTCCAACTCAAGTACCTCTTTGGGAGGACGGCAATAGACACTTGGAAACACATCCAAGTAAGCAGATGGAACATTTGCACCCTACCAAGAAAAGGGCAAATTAATACATGAGGCATTTGTCTGATTAATGACAAAAAGTTCCTGCGTGATTTAATGAAACAATTTATATCCATTTACTTACAGCTCTTCGGTCATTTCGGGATGTGCTGGCATTAGGTCTCAGGATCTCGATGACATACAAGTGCTTATTACTGGTTTTCCACATGTTTCCTTCTGAGTCTTTGAGGTATCCAAGGATCAACAGCCTGAACAGAAATTCATGAAGTCCTTTTTTTACCTGTAAGTATATCAAATATATTGAAAAAAAGCACCAACATATATTTCTATTTGTTCATCGAATTAAACTAATAAATACTGTTACTACCATGGTGGTGACATCAAAATGATAGACTGAAAGCTCATTTTTCTTGGGGCTGTTGAGCAAGGTCTGAAGGATGACATTTTCATCAATTCTTGGGTCAAGTAACCTGATGCACTTCAGCTGCGAAGGCTTCTTGGTGATCTTCTTCAAGTTCTCATACATTCTTTTAATGTAAAGTGATTTTCCTAAAATGAACCACATAGATTATAATTCTGCATCTTACACATTTTGCAAAAAATATTAATTCATACACACAGAAAACAACGTTTTTTTCCCGCGCTATATAGCCAACTGACAAGAATTCTAAAAACTAACTATATTAAATCCATTACTTAAATGCATACTCACCAACTCCTGATCTTTCTGAGGATACAATTCCCACACATTGTCTGTTTTTGAACACATCAGCAGCACTGGATGTGTCAGCTGGGACTGTGAAATGCCTAGAAAGGTATCGTTGAATACTGGTTATTGGTTCTTGGGGAATCAAGTGCAATCTGAATTGACTAAAAGCTGAAGGAAGGTATGCATGTTCTCTATTAGAGCTGCAGACCAACACCAGCCTGTAATCATTCCTGCTCAGGGCATTTTGACGCTGAAAAAATTGCTCCACTTTGTAGCTCACTTCGTAGGGGAGTTGGTCCACATAGAGCATTGTGTATATCTTCTTTCCCCTGTAGCCAGCAGAGAGACAGCGTCTGAGGAAAAGTTCCACTTCTTCATAAGGAGTGGAAGAACTACAGAGTAGGACTTCATCATAGGTTGGTAGAGGCTCATTCTTGCTGCTCATGTAAATTGAAATGCATGATATCAGAATTTCCTCAGAAGGGCAGATGATTAGATTTGGTCTTCCAATAGCCATTCCATTTGGAAGTTTCCTCTGGATGTCCCTTGTTCTCTCATCCTGTAAATACCCATCACCCTCAATTTCACTGGGGCTGTTGGCCAAAATTTCAAGAAGATATCCAAGGCTTCTGACATCAAGGGAGTCTGGCAGAAAATTCTTCATGTCTCGCATGTAAGCGTTCCAAATCACATCGAGCTTTTCCGACCCATTAGCATTCCCCAAGAGATTTTCCAGGTCGTCAAATGTTGGGCATGGCTCCTCAGTACTATCATTTTCAATCACACTGGGGACTTCAACAAAAGTTTGGAAGTCTAAGTCTTCGTTTTGCTCAGGACCCTTCTTAATTACTTCATACTGAAGCCTGTGCCAAGCCCGTCTTAAATCTGAAGTGGAGCAATCAGGTTTGATAAAGGAGAGCATCATAAGAACGTGATCTTCCATTTCGGTCACATTTTTCTGGCTGAGCTGACGGCACATGTAGACTACTTGTTCTGCAGTGTAATAGTTTAAGTAGTAATGCTGAGATCTCTGCTTGTCCATAAAAATCTTCCAGAAGTGTAGGCACCTCTCGATTTTCTTACAGACTTTAGGCAACTGATCTGTGACATCACCTTCCACCACGATGGTGCTGACAACACTCCCTAAGTTGAAGTCCATTATGATGCACGCATCTTTACTATTAGAGTTGACATTTGCCTCCCAATGTCTGAACAATGGATTTCCAGCAACAAACAAATCAATAAAAGCAGAGGCCAACCTCTGTACATTGGCAAATACCTGGAAACAAGGAAGAAGATAATTCAGGGATAATCACAATAGCATGGTGAAATTTAACAGAATGAAACAGCTCAAAGCTCACCTCTGCAAACTGATCGACTTCACACTGGCCTTGATCTCCTTTGCCAGACATTAGCATCAATTTATTCTGAAGATCCCTGAGGTCTTCAAGAGAATAAGTGCGTGTCTCACAGCCCTCATCATGCTCTTCCATAATTTGAAGCTTCAGAATATTTTCCAAGCATAACTGAAAAAAAAAAAAAAAACAATATTCATGGGGTGATATTTCTGAAATATTATCTGTATCAATTAAGGTATTCGATGATGATAAAGACAGCTGAAAATAAGCATTTTGCTAACTTGGCATGTAATTGCTCTCGAAGGAAACTTAGCAAAAATGTATGATTATGCTGATCATTGTTTGCTTTAGTTGGCCTCTTGACCTTTAAACTATTAACATTAGATTTAGTTTGGCTGAATAACAACTGCCAGTGAACTAGGAAAAAAGGATGATCATGTTGGTTATGGTTTGACTTAATCATCGTTTGACCAGAATCACAAAACTCATTTAGAGCGTTAGGTTTACCTCGTTGATAACAGCAACACTATAATTCTATAGCAAACGTTTTTTAGCACTTTCAATATAATCCAAAATATTTCTGAAAATTTGTTCTGATCAAAAGAGTTTGAAAAATTATTTTATTTAGACACACTGACATCAATAATCAGCCTTGAATATTCTATTTGTCACTATTGTTGAGATTCATACACTGATTCTTGATGTCTGTGAGTCCCTAAAAGAAAGATTTTTTTTTATCAGAACAACTTTTAAGAAAGAATTTGAATTGTATCAAAAATTCTGGATCTTATGCTGTAGAATCACTGTGATGCTGTAATCAACACTATACATTAAAGTCAGAGATTAGATTCTAAATTAGTTCAGTGATTCAGGTCAACTGGTGATTTTGTTAAAACTCAACCAACACTATCAGATCATCTTTTCTCTTTGTTCATCTGGCAGTTTTAACGCTGTTACAATAGCCTAACAAAATCTAAAGTAAAAAATGTAAGGTTTAACTGCCCAACTGAAGCAAACACTAATCATCATAATGGTGACTTAAAATTGTGATTTTTCACAATTCTACTTGTTAACATCAGGTCTCTTCAATGTTGGTCAATCATCACTTAATTATCTCATTAACTTTAACACTGCTTCAGTGTTAATTTAAGACTCTTGAGTGTGGAGTCATATAAACTCCCAGGAGAGTTAATTTAAAACTGGACTTTTTGCTATGTAATAACTGTTTTTGAAGCTGGTCCAAGCTAGTTCGTTATTAAGTTGCTGGATTATCAGCCTGGGGTGCGTTTCCTAAAGCCAACAATGGTCCAGGCATGAAAACCGGTCAGGGGTAAAAAAGGTGAGAAGGATATTACCCCTCTAGGGGGGTCCGGGGGCATGCTCCCCCGTGAGAAAATTTTAAATATTCCATATTTTAAAGCATCAATCTGATGCATTTTGAGATGCATTTTTTGCCAACCTGGGGAGAGCTGGAGAAACTTAACTTCAGCCATGAGTCAAAAATATTATTGCCTCCGTAGCGTTAGCTAATAATAATAGGCCTAATAATAAAAATAAAAAAAGACCGATACCTATCCGTCACCAACGCAGTTTAAAAAAAAAATCAAGTAGAATTTCTATAACTGTTTGTTGAACTGATAATCACTCTTTTGTGTGTTAAACACAATCTACTTAATACAGACAACTTCCTTATAAAGAAAAAAAAAATGATCATAACCTATGACAAAAATTATATTATAAACTAGATTAGTGGGTAACTAATTTTAAATTTCATCATTTTATAAAATCAGAACATTTAGTGGAAAAAAAAATTAGTGGGGAACAAATAAGAGACAATAAGTGTAGCAATAAATCTGGTAAAACGTTACACATTGCTCTTTGTATTGTTGTAAAATACATTCATGAAAAACAAGATAAAAATCAAAAAGATCAATTATTTTATAGTCTACTATAAAATTAACAATATATATATATATATATAGCACAAATGTATAGCACAGCTGTTTAATGAGGCAGCAACATATGATAGATAGGACAGAACAGAACAAAAAAATACTATTAATAATCTTTCATTTCGCAAAAGTATTACATGATTATGAAAGACCCTAATAGAGCAATAGAGTGCTGCACACAGCGCTTATGCGCATCCCGAACGCTGAATGATGCGCTTGAGGCAACATGAGTCACAATGCGCAGCTCTGCTTAGACTAAATTACGCATTGAAAAGTTCAAAGCACAAAGGAAATACATATCGATGCATAGTGTATTATACAGTTATCTATCTATTAGATAATTATACATTATCTAGTTTATGGAGCCTTTTCTTTTAACAGTTTTACATTTCAGTTACTGTGCGCGTGAAAAACAATAGTGCTCTCCAATGTTGTGATAGACACGCGGTAAAGGAACATGATTGAGGTACTACTGCAAGATAGTCAATTTATGCGAAACCATAGAGCTTTATCTACAGATTAAGTATAATATTAACATTTAATCATCTTGGAGAGTGTTTCGTTGCCGAACGCGACGCGTTGAATGACTGACGGAGCGCTGTGCTGTTTGTTGAATGGAGAATGACTGACGAGTCGACGCGCTGTTTGTTTGAATGCTGAATTACTGACAGCTGCAGCGGAGGGAAAAGTTTACGTGATCTTGAATTGAATGACTTAAATATTGAAATATTCATTTCTATCTCACATTATACTATAGTATGGCTTCGTATTACACCCCCTCCCTCCAAACATTTTCTCATCGAATCTACACGATTCACGTAGGTCACCTATTTTGGTTTCAAAACGGCGAATTTCGCCGAAAGGTGAGTAGTTTTCATGTCTGATGGTCGCAAGTTCCGTCGTTACCAACAGAGTTCAATGAAAATTGCGAGCAGATTTGGCAAACAATGCTTTTGGGAAACGCACGCCTGGATGAGGGGATGAGCTGGTAACCCATCTTGGTCTAGCAACTAATCAGCTGCCATTTTTTGTCAAAAATCAGCATGACCACTTTTCATCCCAGCTGACTTATGCGAGCAAGGACCTTGGCCATAATGACCAGGTCTCTATTAGCTGATAGCCCAGCTTGTCAATTGCCTAAACCTGCTTGGACTAACTAGAAACCTGATTTTCCCAGCAATGCCCCTGACAAAGTGTGGTCAACCAGCTTGGAGCAACTAGAAACTAGTAAGCATGTTCCAAAACACACAACTTTGTGCTGGATTTTTGACTAAAATCAATTTATATTCATGAGTATTTCAAACTGTCTGTATGCATGATTTGTGCAACATCTATTTGAACTCAAACAGTAATGACAAACCTTCTTTTGGTTTTGTGCACTGATAATGTAGATGCCCTTTGTGTTGATAGCTGATGCCAGAGATAGAGAGGACAGTTCCACTGACCCATGGCTCTCCTTGACTGTCTTCAACCATTCAATGTGTCTTGCAGTGTCACGCTGAAGCAAAGAAAATGTTGGTGAACAAAAATATAAACAATCTTGTTTTCTTCCTTGTCAAAGCTGGCAGACACTCTTACCAATTTTTTGGGGAGATTGGGGTCATTGTCAAGTGCCTTCCAAAGTTTTTTCAGCATATCTTTTAAAAGCCTGAAGTCAGTATCTGGCTTTAAATCATAGAGCATTGAGGAGTACCCAAGAACTGCATCATGAAAACAGGCCACGCGATCCACATCCAAATCATTCTCGCCAGCAGAGATGGAAGCCAAATCCACAAAGACTTTCAACTCATTGATGTCTGAAGTGATAAAGAGGAATAACATTTGCTTACAAAACAGCATTAAAAATGTTAAAATCCCATTCAATTACCAGTGCAAACCCCAATTTGGTTACCTTCAAGAGCCTCTTTAACCCACATAACAAAGTTCTTCCTGAGGCCAAGTTCCTGAAGGCACAGTCTACGGGAATCTGTGATGTCCACAAGCACAGTTTTTGCCTGCATCAGCTCATTGTCAATGCTGTCAAGACGCTCTTGTTTAAAATCCACCTGTGTCTAAAAGGAAGAAAGCCTCATTGGTTTAATATATCCCTTACTTGCTTTAATAAAAATTAAATTACTTGACAACAGGAAGCATAATGGGAAAAATTAGGATGATTTTAAATAATGAAAAATTAAATTATGACTTACAGTAGTAAGCAACTTGTCCAAGACTCGAAAGTCTCCTTGTAGGCAGAGCGTATCTTTGACCATCATGACCACCTGAGCCGACTCCACTGCCAGATGAAGCTCATGGTACTGCTCGATCTGCTGGATTCTTGTCTGGACCCATCGCTGGTCATCACGGAGATCCAGATTGCAAATAATTGCAACTTCCTCTGCCAGTTCTTCGTATTTTCCCTTGTAGGCCTTGAATGTTGCATCAACCTTTTCAAAAGTTATGCTACCATCTTTAAGGCTCGTGTATATGTTTCTGTAGGTATCATAACATGGTTCGAATACATCTCTGTTAAGATCTTCGAGTGTGATATCCTCATCTTCCAACTCTTTTGCCTCATTCAACCAACACGATTTGAAAATGTAGCTGTCTTTATAGGTATTGAGGACCTCCGCCATAGATCGAACCTCATCATCAAGCTCAAAGTAGGTGACTACTTGTGACAATGGAGAGGAAATTTGATTTAATGAATGAACCTCCATGAATTCATCCAGGTTCATCTCATCTATGTCAATATGGTGTTTTTCTTCCAACCCTTCAAAATCAACTGTAAATCACAACAAATATTTAAATATTAACATCTCTGTATAAAAACAATGTTATTCTCAGGTGTTCAATAGCAATTACCAGTCACATGCTCCTCTAGACTGCGACACATTGTAATGAGAGCATCCACCAATGCACTCTCATGATTGATAGCCTTCACCTCCTCTTGTCTACACTGAAGAAGCCTCTTCATGGCGTTGGTGTCCTTGTATTCTTCATTTTCACAAAAACACTCTGGAAAAATAGCAGGTTCAAGACTCTTCACATAATAGTATGTCATTGTCAAAAAGGTAAAATCTCAGTGTGTGAGGTATTTTACCTAAATTAAGCAGCTCAAAGAACGAACTCCTCTTCTGCAGGATGAGATTGAGTAGCTTTATCTTTATTTTCCCAGTTACAAGTTGACGTAAAATGCTTGTGAATAATGATGTTGCCATGGCTAATTTCTCTTTAGCTTCTTCAGAAAGCTGATCAATCAGTTTTTCATCAGCACCTGCAGCCAAAACATACATAATATCTCCGTCATAAAACTGTTTCTGTCTTTAAAAATAAAATGCCATGTGGATGGAAACCATGTAATTACCATAAAGCTGAAATATATTTTTGGCTGCTGTCCACCCCAGAAGATGTTTGAGAAGAACTTCTTCCTCCAGAGAGGTTCCTTTGTCATCTTTTGGCCAGGACTTTAGGATGATGGTAGACACAAGCTTTCCAAATTTCCAGTTTATCCGTAAATTACTGAATCTCTCAAAAAGTTTACCCTCAGATTTAGTCTGTTTAAAAAAAAGTCTGTATAGTAAGATTGCATTTGTACTGTATGTTTCCCATATAAAATCCTACACAAAAGCCAATATAACAACTGTTTTAGTCTCATTATATGATATGCATATGTGTATTGTATTGTAGTGCTTTGGGTATGAGAAACCTCTCTATGTATGTGCTATTAACAAAACTCTCATGTCATTCCAAAACCCAAGACAAAAGGTATTTTAAAACTAAATGAAAGTTGATCAGGACTAGGTCTGATGAGCTCCTAAAAGCACCACAAAAAGTTATAAAACTTGTCCATATGATCTGTACTTTATTATTCTGACACTTCTGAGGCCAACATTCAAACCATTATTCTTTGAAAATCTTGACAGCTATCTTAGCCTAACCAGTGTATTATTTAAAGCAGCATTAGGTAACTTTTGAAATTTTGCTCTCGGGGTCCCCCTACAGTTGGGAAACAGTATTGTCTTCTACTACTGTCGTAAAATCTGTCATGGTTACACCATGGAATACACGCGTGCATTTGTTGACAAGCGATACCCCCGAACTCTACCCCCAAAAGATCGCGTAACTCACGTTTACAAGTCAGCGTCTTCATAGCCTATTGGGTACTGTTTTACATAATGGATATGATAATTCAATTCAATGTTTGTGTGGTATGTAATAGCCATATCATCAATATTATAATATCAAGCTACCATATGAATCTGCAAATCTGAAAAATCGATTTGCATTATAGCCTGAGGCAAGACACTTTCACCAGAAAAAAAATAAATAAACAATCATGACTATCAGCCTGCAGACATAGGATAGTTATCCTTTTATTGTGTCTGTCTAATCATGTACAAGACTTACAAGAATGTAGCCCCTACCAAACTTGTACACACCGTTAAGACATAGGCTTACTGATTTATTTAGTTTTTGACAGCCGGCATCGGTCGGGCACCCCTCCTCCTCCTTTAGCTCGCGCCAACGAGCAATATTGGAACAATATTGCTCCCCGTCCAGCATTTTATTTGGTCACTCTCCCTTTTTTTTCTTTCTACTGTCCTCCAACAAAACCTTTGGCTTCTTGTTTTTACTTGCTGCTTCAGCCATGACAACATACAGAGTTTAAAAAAAATGCTTGTTGGGCTCGCACATTAGATTTTGAGGAAGTGGGGGAAGTGACGTATGCCATAAAGCAGTCAAATTTTGTAGGGGTTTTTTGTGCTTGGGTTCCTACCCGAAACCGGAAGTTACATAGTGCCAATAAAAGCAATACAGAGAGACACCATCAGGCTATGGCAGACCTTTCATTCAACCTATTGTAAGTAGATGTACCACTACAAGGGTTCTGGAAAAATATTATAAAGGTTGAAAAAGTTACATAGTGCTGCTTTAAAATTGATCTTGTTGTGTTCCACAGAAGAAAATCAAATGTTTTTAAAATGACATGAGGGCGAGTAAAATATGACAATTTTCATTTATTTAGTGAAACATTTCTTTAAACAGGTACAAATAATCCTCAGACTGGACTTTTGTCCTAATTTCATTTTATAAAATGTTTGAATGCATGTTTACTCAGTGCAAGACCCTTACCTGGCATATTGTGGTAACAGCCTGGAGAGCACACTTCTCTACACTACCCACCAAAAAAGGCTGGGAGCTGTTAAGTTCCTCAATCTTTGAGCAATAAACCTCAATTTGATCAAGATGATCTTCCTAATAAGAGTAAAAACAAATAGTTTTGCATATTACCAAAGACACACACTGAAATATGTCAGTGAAGGCTGTCAGTTGTACAGATGTCTAGCCACATTTGCTGTAGTTTCACCAGAATCTCTGTTACTTCAATTTTCATTAAGCAACAATTCGTCCCCGGCACCGTGAACTGGCAATTCCTCCCTGGCCCCCTGAACTGTCAGTGCCTCCCTGGCCCCCTGATCTGTCATGTACGGCTACGGAGGCTGTAGTAGCCAGATCTGCCCTGGCCCCCTGAGCTGTTGGCATCTCCCTCACCCCTTGAACTGGCGGATCTGCCCTGGTCCTCTGAGTTGTCAGATCTGCCCTGGCCCCCTGAGCTGTGATATCTGCCCTGGCCCCATGAGCTGTCGGATCTGCCCTGGCCCCCTAAGCTGTTGGCGTCTCCCTCACCCCTTGAACTGTCAGATCTGCCCTGGCCCCCTGAGCTGTCGGATCTGCCTCCAGCGCCTACTAGGGCTGCAACGATTCGTCGACGTTGTCGACAAAAATCGATATTAGAAATAGTCGACAATGAATTTCATGGTCGAAGTTGTCGCCAGACATGTTTTTTTCCGACCAAGGGATCTCTCGTCATTACAACCTCTGCCGAGAGTCGCACGCGCATTAGCTTCTATGCTGTGCTGAGCGATAACATACAGAAATGGCGGTGTCCAACGCAGCAGCTGCGCGTACCAAAACATCTAAAGGTATGGATACGGTGAATAAAAAGATTACCTGCATGGTTTGCAAAGCAGTCCTTGCGTATCACGGCAGCACCACGGTGATGCACGAACATTTAAAGAGAAAGCACGTCGGACAGTTGAATGAAACTGAGTTTGACTCGCCTCGGTAAGATTTAAATAACATGGAAGCCAATACGTACGCTTACTTTCCTTAATATGAATAAACTGAACGACATAGCCTGAGCCTCATGTTGATTTTAAACTTGGTCTGTCCACCATGACAGGTTTGTGTCCAGGTGGTATCACACAGTCCATGTTTACAACTTAAATTCAGACGACTCTGAAAGTTTATCATAAAACCGTTAGATTTCATAATGTTGTAAAGTTCTTTTGCAACAGATTGACCACTGAATGTATCTCACAAAATGCACTTAATATTTTTGTTTACGGTTTTATTGCTGCTAATGTGCCTGCCCCTGGTTTACAGGAAGAACATGTTTACGTAAGGGTTAATGCGTTAATAGTCCATTAAAACCTGACAATGGACACCTCGGAGGGCATTAACCCTCTTATACCATGGTCACTTGCCAAATAAAACATTTTTAAAACATTAGCTGCTAGTTTATATTTTAATTAGGCTAAATCTAGTTTTTACAAATAATAACTTGCCTGGTTTATTTAGCAACCAGAGATATTTATAGTCCGCACAGTTTGTAAAACCCTTCAGGTTCAAAAAATGCATTTTTTTTTCATGAAACACAAAGGTAGGCATAGTTATTTTTTTTATTACACATAAAACAATTAATCAAACAGGCTTCTTAGGCTTGAAACGCTGTACTCTCCTTCTGCCGGATGTCTGGACTGCTGCGTAAAACTCCCGCAGGGTCTCATTCAGAGCAGCAGCGGTATAATTTTCTTTGCGACGTTTCTCCGTTTTATTTACATTTTTTCTTTCTTCAGCAGCATCCCAGTCGCCAAAGTTGTCATATTGTCCATAAATGTTAAAAAAAATAACGAAGTCGCTCATTGTTGTATTAGTAGGCTATGTAATATCTAACTAACGTCAGATGTTTGTTTTGATAGAGCAAATTGTTAACGGATACTTTGAGTGCCTGTTGCTATGGTTACTCACAGCCGTTGTAGGCAGCGCATTTATTTATTAATTTCGAATGGTAAACAGGCAGTTTCACCAGAACTACTTTACTAGGTGTCCTCTATCACTTTTTAACGGACACCCTGCAGCCAATCAGATTTGAGTATTCACCCAGACCATGGTATAATTGATTTTAATTTATTTTTTCTTATAAAACAAATGTGCCTGTCCTTTATAAAAATGATAGTTACTCTATTTATGTATTTATGTCTATACTGACCGAGCACTGTGCCTAAATGGTTTTAGACAGGGCATTTTTATTTACTTTTAGTATGAATCGGCCTATCAGCAGCAAAGTTCAATAAAATATGCATTTTTCATTGAAGTACCCACCTTCTTTCTTGTGTTTACTATCATTTTCCAAAGAATTAAAGCAATCTCATGCTAAATTTTTAGAAAAATTAAATAATTGTTCGATTTGTCGACTAATCGTTTCAAAAGTCGGTGACTAGTCGACTATTAAAATAGTCGTTAGTTGCAGCCCTAGCGCCTACCTGGCCAACTGCCCTGCTTCAGTCTCCAGGCCCTCTTCCTCTTCACAGACCTAGCCCACCATCCCTCCCCCTGGTTCGCCTCCATTCCACCTCCCACCTGGGCTATTGTTTGGCTTTTCTTTTATACACCCTACACCCTACTGGAACGGTGTAATATTACCTGTTGATATTTCCCCTCAAAGTCTCGTGTAAAGGTTTCTTTCCATTCTTTAGTGAAGTCCTTACTCATGAAATCGATGGCAATTATGTTATTCCACATCTGTAAAGCAGAACAAAAAACATCATTATTATCAACTACACTGAACAATATTGAGCTGAACTCAAAGATCTAAGACTTTTTTATGTACACAAAAGGCTTATTTCTCTCAAATATTTTTCACAAATCTGTCTAAATCTGTGTTAGTGAGCACTTCTCCTTTGCCGAGATAATCCATCGACCTCACAGGTGTGGCATATCAAGATGCTGATTGATTACTGCACAGGTGTGCCTTAGGCTGGCCACAATAAAAGGCCACTCTAAAATGTGCGGGTTTTATCACACAGCACAATGCCACAGATGTAGCAAGTTTTGAGGGAGCATGCAATTGGCATTCTGACTGCAGGAATGTCCACCAGAGCTGTTACTTGTGAATTGAACGTTCATTTCTCTATCATAAGCCGTCTTCAAAGGCGTTTCAGAGAATTTACCAGTACATCCAACCGGCCTCACAAGCACAACCATGTGCAACCACACCAGCCAGGACCTCCACATCCAGCATCTTCAGCATCCATCGTCTGAGATCAGCCACCCGGACAGTCAACAATCGGTTTGCATAACAGTTTCAGGGAAGCTCATCTGCATGCTAGTCCCCCTCATCGGGGTCTCGACCTGACCGCAGTACATCGTCGTAACCGACTTGATTGGGCAAATGCTCACATTCAATGGTGTCTGGCACTTAGGAGAGGTGTTCTCCTCATGGATGAATCCTGGTTTTCACTGTCCAGGGCAGATAGCAGGATTGAGTGGATTGAGTGGCCCATGGTGGCAGTAGGGTTATGGTATGGTTATGGTGAGGTTATTGTATGGGCAGGCGTATGTTATGAACAACCAACACAGGAGCATTTTATTGATGGCATTTTGATTGCACAGAGATAAGTGGAAAAAGTCTTAGATCTTTGAGTACAGCTCATGAAAAATGGGGGAAAAGTGTTGCGTTTATAATTTTTTTCAGAGTATAATCTCAGATGGAATCTACCATTTGTATGGTCATACTTATTCTGCTTACCTCAATCTCTTTAGTGAAGCTCATAGCCGATAGAGATAGATAGCTATTGTTCAAAAGCCTGCCTTTGAAGGTTTGTCTGATCCATGCTCTCACAGTTTGCTTGGCATCATTGAGTAACGCAAGAGTCTTCATGGGAAAAGCGTCTGTTTGTTGTGTTTTCTTTGGTTTGAACAAATATTCAGGCAATTTTATGTCTTTTATGTTTGTAATCAATAATTTAAAACAAAGATAATATGATTTTAGTATGGAATACCTGGGAAAATTCTGATACAGAGGCCACAAGGTTCATGCAAGCAACAGGAGTATCAGTGATATTTTGGGCATAGCCGTAGTAGTTAACTCCTTTGCAGATCTTCTCTAGAAGTTTGCAAGTTGCTTGTATGCACTGAATGCCATAAGCCTCATTCAGACAGCTGCAACAGAAATGAAAGCAAGTTCATCTAGAGACCCCTGATAAATTTTACCACATACAAGCCAATTAAAGGGGGGGTTGACTGCTTTTTTTCTTTGCATGATTGTGTTTATGGGGTGCAATATAACATGTATTCGTGGTTTTTCGTTTTTAAAAAAGTCTTATTTTTCATAAACTTCACTTTTATTGTCAGCCGCGCTCTCCTCCGTCCTCGAACGAGCGGTTGACTTCCTGAGTCTATGAAACCACTCCCTCAGAAACACGTAGTGGGCTCAGATTGGTTAGCTTGGCCCGGTGTGTTGTGATTGGCTAAACTTTTCGCTCACGTTGTCCGGAAAGTTAACGCCCATTACCTTTACGGGCGAAACGGGCATGTCATGAGCTCCGGTCCAGATATAAATATGCGTCGAACTGCAGTCTCAGTATGACCCAGAATCAGACCGAGAAAGCCGCGATGAAGAGAGTCAAAAACAGAACCTCACCACACACGGCTCTTACTAAACGTTTCTGAATGATAATTTGCTAGATTTTTTAAAACTTTATACACGTTTGTTTAACACAATATCATCTGACTGGCAACAATAGCAACTGACTGGCTACTAATGTTAAACACAAACAGCGTTGGAATTAGTTTACGTTCTTGATCAAATCGAAAATAACGTCATAAAACATACATGAAAAATACATTTACAACATTAGTACTTATACAAAATTCATGTTTGTACGCGTTTTTCGTAGACACAAAATAGCATAACTAATAGCCTAGTGGCAATAAAGCCAGCGCTGGCATTTGAAAAAAATAAAACACAAGGCTACGTCTGGAATTAATTATACATGCAAATATATTTAAAATGATTAAGTCTTAGCCTGCTTACAGGTTGTGGCCCAACAACTGCTGCCTCTGGTTTTAAAGCTGGAACTGCTTCATGTTTTAGTAACAGATTCTTGTTGAATCCGGTGTTGAACTCGTGGAGATTCTGGAAGCTGTCTTCCGTAAAATGTGCAGCACAGAGAGCTAGATTACGATCGTCATTTTCAGGAACATAATCAAACATTAATTGTATCCATTGTTGACGAAGTACAGCGTCCGTGGGAAGCTCGAAGACATAAGACCTGACAGCTGCGTGAACAACACACTCGACGAGCTGGAGCTGCTGAAATATGCGCATGACCTTTTCTGCATATTCTGGAGGGAGTGGTTGATGCAAATGTGTGGGTTAGTGACATACCATAACCCAGCTGTAGTCCCAATCGAGTCGTTTTTGTAGGCAATTATACTTCCTGATTTTTAAAAGACTCTGCTTACACTGAACTTTCAGCGCTTTGCAGACACTGTTCATGCATCAACAGCAACATTACACACTATTTAAAATGAAAAAAGTGAAATCGCAGTCAATCCACCCTTTAAATGTTTCAGAGTGGCCTGTTGATAATGAAATCAACATGAACTTATATTTTAACTCAATAATTTCTTACCCTAAACGGACGTAACATCAACCATGATTTGCTAATTTTCTCAATACTGGAAAAATGGCAAAATTTTACCATTGGACCATTTTAACCATGAAACTGGTTCTAGACCATCACTTGAAAACATTTAAATAAAATAATAATAATAAATCATTATATCTAAGCAGAGGTTACAACAGTGATAATTCATTTTTGGAGGTCTATTTTCCCCCATTTGCTGCAAGGCGTTTATATATTAATAAGCTGATCAGTCACATGCCAAATACAGCTCAATTGATTGGCTAATTTTTTTTTCAGAAAAACTCTCAAAACAGTGTATTAAAGGAAATGCAAACAAAAAACAGAACCCACAGAATTGTTTTTGTTTTGATTTTTCAAATTTGCCCAGTCTGATCAAATCCTCTAATTTTAATTCCTGAGTTTATTCAGATATAGAAACAATTTCAGAAGGAAACAAACAGATTTAGATCCCTAAATGTTTGTAGAAAAACTTTACCTGTAACTTTGTTCGAGCAAGTGACTTTGAATGTGTGCCAGAGTCTCCGAAACACCCTAAGATAAAAATAATAATAATTAAATATTATATGGTATGCTAAAACTGTCATCTGTCTTGGTTTGTACAATTTATGGTTATTTCTAGTTATGGCTTGATACTCACTGTGGAAGTGCTGTAGGATATATCATTGGGGCATTTCATGGTGAAAAGCTGCAGGATGTCCAGGAGCTCTACATGTAGGATGGAGCTGCACTCAACCAACTCATCTACAGTCATCAGATACATCCAAGACCGGGCCAGCAGTCTGTCTACCTCAACCAAATGTCCATGTGTCTTCATGAGGTTCAATATCGACCTAAATTAGAGGGATTCAGTCAAAAATGAGAAAAATGAATTCACGATACAGTACTTTCCACTAAACCTAAGCGAAAAGTCCAAACATTCAATTCAAACATTTGGAAAATTAAATTTTGAACAGAGAGATTTTAACACCTTCGATCTTGGGATCCAATGGAAAGTACATCAGCTGATTTGAGTCCCTGTAGTCCAGCCCAGCTCAGCCCATATTGTGGGTTGATCTTGTTAAACACTGGCTCAAATGGTTTTGAAGATCCTTTGAGAAGATGCAGTAGTGGAATTATGATGATCCATCTGGGCATCGTGGCAGCTCTCACTTTGTTGATCAGCGCTTCCACCATCTCAGACAAGCTGAAGAGGGAGGAAATGTTACAAGACATTTTAGATGTGAAGCTTGTATATTTGTTGGAGCACTTCGGATGAAAAAAAACTAACATTCACATTTCACTGCTTTATAAATGGACTTTTATTTTTAACTGAGTGTGGGTCTGAGTCTTCTATTGTTTTTTGCAACCCAGTTTAGGCTTAGTTGTTGTGCTAGGTTTCCTGTCCTACTTCTTGTCTATAGACGCTTTCAGCAGTGACAACATAAACAAACAGTACTGCGCATGTGCATTAATTTGGCCCAAACTTAACTTCCGGCAGACTTGCAGAGACAATCCATAACAAGTAAATAACCTAGTAGCTGGTATTTCTTGCCAGTCAAAGAAAATAAATGTTAACTGGCCAAACTGAAATGTGACACTACCAGACCCGTTGAACAAAAATTGGAGACAAGATGTTTTTCTACCGACGAGTCTGAGTTACCGCAGTGTTAAAACTGTGGCGAGCGCGACGGCGGGGTTTGATAAGGTTAACATAGCTCTCCTTATTAGCTAGGCTACTTACATGCTTGCTAACCTTTTTTTAAGGTGGGTCTCCACATTGACAGCATGTTGGATGGATCTGTGCAGCGCTGTTTATGATACTAACCATTCAATACACAGACTGGTCCGCAGTCAATGTGTTTGCGAGAGAGAGAGAGAGAGTGAGAGCGAGAGCGTGCAAATATGCGCTGCACACAACTCTGTAGTCAATTACAACTTTTCCCATCTTAAATTGTTAAAAACAAGGAAATCAATATGTGGCGGTCAGCGCTGATAATGTGGTGGGCTGCCACTAATAAATGTATGGGAAACACTGTACCGGTTATCACTCAGATAAACATAGGCTATTTTTAATCCCGCCGTCTCCCTCATAGGAAACCTTGACATTTTTATTTTTAAAAATTGCGTTTGCTCCCTCGGTCAGGTTGCACCCCACAGCTCACCAACCTGCTCATCACATTAACTTTCACTGCATTTGTAGTCAATGCCATATTATCCAGTAAACACTAATAAACGAACAGAACGGAAGTTAACTTTGGGCCAGCTCATCACCATGGCAACGCGTCTGATGAAAGCGTCTATAATTGAAAAATTGTTCTCTGCTCCTTGGATCGCCACTTTACTGTGGTGGAGAACCGTGTGTGTAAGCTATGCCGTCAGGAGCTTCACTCCTGCTAGGTTTCGAGACAAAATGCAATCCAACAATGAACAGAAGAACTGAGAACTGCAGATGATGACTTCTGTCAGGTAAGGTCAGCACCAGAGGATGGTCCCCAACTGTCCTGATGCCACTGAACCCAGCTAACACTTGATCCAGAGAACTCAAATACAAATTTAAAACACCCTGGAGGCACCCACACCTCATTGACTACGTAATAGTCTGCACAAGAGACCCCCAAAGAATCTTGCTCCACAGCAATGTCCAGTATGGATGACTGCTCCTCCTTGCTGGACTGACCATCGCCTTATTCATTCCATCCCATCTATTTGACACAATTAAATGACACCACTTGCAGACAACAGTTCCAGGCAGTGTTCAGCACAGAACCGCCAAAAACATATGTTAAAATACACAGGGGCATGTTCAAGTCTTTGGCCTATCCTGGTGAAACTCCTCAGTCTTCAGGATTTTTGAAATCCTACGGCTTGCCCGTGAAAAACATGAACTTAAGTACAACGAAAAACGTGTCCATATATTCCCGGATTTCAGTACCAGTCTTCTCCAAAAGCGTCGGGAGTTTGATGTTATCAAAAAGAAACTCTGTGAACTTGACATGATTTACTCCTTGCATTATTCTGCTACACTCAAGATTATCTCCGATGGTAAATCGGTGCTGTGCAAGACCCCAGGGGAAGCTGAAACTTTCTTCAGGAATTACAACTTTTACCTGAATGACGGACTGCTCCTGTCTTGTTCAAGGTAGTCTATTGACAAAAAGGTTTTGGTTGTTGCTGATGTGATGTTAGCGTAATCAGGACTTATTTGTTTACATCTTGAAGGTTTATATGATATGTAAATTATTTATTTTTTATTTATTTAAATATTCTTCCAAATACCAGCATTCGCCTTTAGGCCTGGCTTACAATGAATCCTGTGGCGGATAAACTTTTTTTTTTTTCTAGTCAGTTTCTATTTTAGGCATATTACTACTAGGCTATTATCAACTTTTCTATTCTAATTTTTTCTTTGCTCACTTCTCATTCCAGTTTGGGTTTTCAACACTGGTGGAAAACCCCTTTTCCACCAGTTTGATATCTGGTTCAGAGCCAGAGCCTAGTTTCAAATCAGTTCTTTGTCTTAGTTGCAACACCCAAAACACTGCTAAATTCAAATGTGCAAAACCAGAGTTTGCTGAAAATCTCAGTAGTCAGTTAAACTGGCTTTGTAAACTAGGACTTTGAAGTAATTAATCAGAAGGATTTAGTAAGTACTGTTACAGCATCCCCAACATCAATCTCATATGAAGGTACATCACCAAATAAAGAGACATGGTGGTTAATAAGAGCAAATGGGTCAACATTTTATGCAAGTTTTTAAGAGTGTCTGAATTTTTAAGATGTCCCAACAGCGTTAAGTCTTTTTCCCATTTAATTCTTCTTACTTTAATAAATGTTATTCTTTTGATCATTATCTAACGTGTTGTCACGGCTAGCGAGTCGGCCGTGACAGTACATTTTCACAAAACACTGACTAATTTATATAATTAGACATAATGAAAAGATAACTGTACTCACCTTTTTATTTCTGAGAATGATGCTGTTATGTCACTCCAGAAGGACAGGAACTCATCCTTGGGTAATTTCGGCAGGCAGAGGGCAGTGCAGAGACGGGAAAGAGCTCCGTTGTCTAATTCCAGACGATACTGTCTCCACACATACAGCATGATGAGAGCAGCCTTCAGTGGCTCCTTGATGAAAGCACTCTTTCCCTCCCCGTCCTTCTTTATCTCTGGGGTCACTCGATCCAGCATGAACTGCTTCAGAAGCCTGCTCACCTGACAGGATGAAAATGAGACGATATGTAAAGAATTTCAAGTCTACATTTACATTTCAACACTAGTTCATCTCTGTCAGTCTGCAATCTCAAAGTGGGCCATGAAACGAGAAATAAAACTTTCTTTGATCATTTGACATATATTCCTCCACACTGCAGACACAGCATTTCTTGAAACCAAGCAGCCAAAACTTTCACAAATTACAATCCGTAAGTTATGAATATAACTATGGATCTGTGAGACCGAAGGATGACCGTCACTACGGTCTAATAGGATGATAACCTTCGTTCCGCGTTCTCTCGAGACCTTATGTAAACAAAGTCATGCCCATGACCCCGGAAGCGGAACGTCACGCACTTAACTTCCGGCTCGTTCTCTTACCTTGAACGCCCTAGTGTTCCGAGCGACAAGGATAGTGACGGTCATCCTTCGGTCTCACAGATCCATAGTTATATTCATAACTTACGATCTGTTTCGACCTCACTCTGACCGTCACTACGGTCTAATAGGATGACTCATGTCAACAGGGTCGCGAGGAACTATAGACTCTGAACTATTCAACCCTCGCTGGGCTACAGACATCAAAACTGCATTGCTGACAGGGGCTGTGCTAGTTACGTCAACTCTGTAAAATTTTGCAAATGTACATGGTGTAGACCATGATGCTGCCGCACAAATCTCCCCCACTGAGACTCCTTTTAGTGCAGCCCAAGAAGTAGCTACACTTCTGGTTGAGTGGGCCCGTATTCCCAAAGGGACTGGTAACCCACTGCCTGTATAAGCCTGGGAAATAACCTCAACCAACCAATGTGACAAACGTTGCTTAGAAAGTGGACACCCTAGTCTGGCCTTCCCATAGCAAACAAAAAGCTGAGAATGAGACTTCCTCAAGGTCTGAGTCAAATTAACATAAGTGCGTAATGCCCTTACTGGACAAAGGGTTAGCAAATTCTGCTGATCTGCCTGTGAAGGGGGTTGAAATTGTACTACCTCCAGGACTTGATTCCTGAACTGAGAATTAAGTACTTTTGGTAAAAAAGCAGGGTTGGGCCAGAGCGTCACCCCTGTGCCATCCGGCCTCCAACGTAAACAATCCTCACTAATAGATAGTGCACACAATTCTCCTACCCTTTTAGCAGAGCATATAGCCAGGAGAAAAGCTGTCTTGAGAGACCAAGCTTTAAAATCTGCATCTGCCATAGGCTCGTATGGGGGCTTAGTGAGAGAGTCTAGTACCAAAGGCAAATCCCAATTGGGTACCCGTAAAGTGCGATTTGGACACAAACGACCAGCTCCCTTCAGGAACTGGCTTACCAAAGGATGTCGGCCTAATGGCTGGCCATCCACTCCCCGATGAGATGCTGAAATAGATGCAGCATAAACCCTGATTGTGCTGGCCGCTTTTCCCTGATCCAGTTGAGCCTGCAGGAATCTAAGGACAAGTGGGACGGAGCAGGTTATTGGATCAACATTCAAGCCTAAACACCACTCAGCAAAAATTCTCCACTTTATGGAGTAATTAGCCCGAGTAGATGGAGCTCTGGCATTATTCAGTGTCTCACGTACCGTTTCATCTAGCTGTTGAGGGATGGACTCTGCAGAGGCCATACCCATAGATGAAGTGCCATCGGGTTTGGATGCCAAATCTGCCCGTCTATTTGGGATAGGAGATCTGCCCGTGATGGAAGTTGCCACGGAGGACCCTGAACCAGCTGAACTAGGTCCGGGAACCATGGTCTTCCCGGCCAGCGTGGAGCAACAAGTAGAACTGTGCAATGACCCTCCCTGATCCTCTGGAGGACCAGAGAAATCAGAGGAAAGGGGGGAAAAGCATATAATAAGCTTCTCGGCCAGTCTTGTGACAGAGCATCCAGGCCCAAACTGCCCTCCTGTACCGTGAGGGAGTACCATCCCAGGCAATGGGTCGTCTCCTTGGAAGCAAAGAGATCTACCTGAGCGGTCCCGTATCGGGTCCAAATTTGGGTTACTACCTCTGTGTGCAACCGCCACTCCCCTGGGAGAGGCCCCGTTCTGGACAAAATGTCGGCTGCTCTGTTTGTCACCCCCGGGATGTGGATTGCTCTCAGTGAGGACAGCCGTGGCCATGTCCATGTCAGCAGGTTCGTTGCCACCTGGAGACAGCGTAATGATTTCGTCCCTCCTTGGTGATTTATGTGGTAAACCGCTGAGGTACTGTCTGTCCTCACTAGCACATGCCTGTGGCGAAAAAATGGTAAAAGACCCTTGAGAGCGAGATGAACGGCTTGCAGTTCGAGCACATTTATGTGTTCTGATGACCACGGGGGATCCCATTTGCCCCTTACTGATCTGCTGTCACAAGTCTCCCCTTCTGGAAGTGACCCAACGCCTTCTCCAGGCTGTCTATTCTCTGGGGAGTGAGACATGCTTCCATTGTCTTGGAGTTGAAATATAGCCCCAGGAATTTCACCTGCTGTTGAGGCTGGAGGCTGCTCTTCTTCCAGTTCACTGTGAACCCCAGGGACTGAATGTGAGCTAGTACCTCCTCTGTGTTCCTGACCACCTGCTCTCGAGAGGGAGCACAAATTAACCAATCGTCCAGATATGGCAGGATTTTGATACCCCGCAGCTGAAGGGGAGCTAAGGCAGCTGAGATCACCCGAGTAAAAACTCTCGGTGCCAAAGACAGGCCGAACGGCAGAACCTGGAACTGAAAGGCCTGGCCTTGAAAAGCAAAGCGGAGAAAAGGCCTGTGCTCTGGACAAATTGGAACATGGAAATAAGCGTCTTTTAAATCCAGGGACGTGAACCATTCTCCTGCGCGTATGGCTTGCATTACCATCTTTGTATGAATCATTTTGAATGGAAGAATTTTTAAGTACTGATTGAGGTGCCTGAGATCCAGAATGGGACGATGACCACCCTCTTTTTTTGGGATTATGAAGTAGGTTGAATAAAACCCAGTTTGCTGTGCGTTGAAGGGCACCTTTGTGATTGCTCCTTTTTGCAAAAGAGCTTGCACCTCTTCCCTCAATACGGGCTCCAATAGTGGGTCTTTGACAATAGTCATTCTGACCCTTGAAAACGGTGGGGGGCGCCGTCGAAACTGTAGCCGATACCCGTGAGTTATTGTTGATAAAACCCACTGGTCTGATATCACTTTCTCCCAACTGGCCCGTGAAAGTTGAGAGGCACAGTCGACGGCCAGCCCCTGACCCCTATGCAGGTCCACCATCACGTCCAGGGACCTTTCGTGAACCTCTCTGTTGGGCTCCCCCACGGGACTGAAATCTCCTCTGGGGATAAGGGGCCGAATTTTGTCTTTGGGGACGAAAGCTCTGCCCTTGACTGCCACTAGCCAGACTGCCACTCCCATGTCTAGACCAGGCAGGTTGTTGCGGTCTTTGTGTTTCTCGCGCCCTTGGTCTGAAGACTGGAGCTGGTTTATGACAAGCCCGCTGAACAGCTTCTCTGGTTGCAATGGAGCGCTCCGCCTTATCCAGCACCTCCTGAGAATTTGAATTAAAAACATGACCGGGAACTACTGGCAAGTTCATTAGTTCGCTTCGTATGGTCTCTGGCAAAGAGGTTTGTGCCAGCCATATCTGTCTACGACATAACACAGCCGAGGACATAGCATCCCCCACATCACGGGTCAATTGTGAGTGGGCAGCCAGAGCAGAATCAACAAGGTTCTTAGAATCCTGGTCCTCCGCACTTACTGTTTTCCGTAAGGCTGCTAAGAGGATAGCCAAAGCATTACCTGTACGAGCTGCACGTGCAGAGGCATTAAAGGATCTTGAGATCAGACGGTCAGTTTTCGCACACTCCTTCTTGGGACAGCGAGGGTTAGCAGATGCATAAGCTGGTCCCAGAGTTGTCCATGATGCTATTTCTTGCTCTACTGGTGGCATGTCCCCCAGTCCAGTTTCTTTTGGGTAACGGGCATTGGCCAACCGTCTGCAGCCTGCATTGAATTGAGGCTTCTGAGATGGTTTCTTCCATGTTGTCCTCAACATTGAGGTATAGTCATCTGCCACTGGAATGCAAGATGGAGAATTAGTCTGAGGTATGCCTTCCCAGACGCCCCCGACAGGAGCTGGGTCAGGCACAGAAGGTTGTAAGCAAAGAATTTTTGTTGCACTAAACACCCTGGCAACAAGAGTATTTGCTGGAAAATCATCCCTCCCTGTTGATTCGCCATCCACTTCGGCAGAATCTGAGTGGGGTTCCTCTCCTTGGCTCCCTTCTTCTGCTTGCTGTGCAACATCAACCAGCGAGTGGGGAGCAATTTCGATTTCAATTTCGGCATCTTCGATGTCAGTATCAGGATTACCCTGCCGTGCAGCTGGAGGAACGCCTTCCTGACTATGAGGTAGCGATGGTGAAAGTGAGTGACGGGCTTCAACTCTGTCCATCCTCTGTGCTAAACTTTGAATAGCAGCCAGGATCTGTAGATGAGTGTCCGTGTTCCCATCCTCCGCTGGTGGAGCAGGAGTTGGGGGTTTAGCCACCTCCACCACCTTCTCAAGGCTTGATCGGTGTGGCTCATTGCCATCACGTGAGTGCTTGCGGGAGCGCTTACGACTATGCCTGTCCGATGAGCGTTCCCTTTCCCTACCACGCTCAGGTACAGAACTGCGTACTCTATTAGCGCGGTGAAGTCGTTCCCCTCTGGGCAGGTCACAAGCCGCATTGCAGGGATTATCCACATCCTCTCTTAAATGAGCCATCCCTAGACATGAAGGGCATTCCCTATGCCCATCACGAGGGTCCATTGATGATTGGCAATATCGGCAGCAATGAGAGGCCATGCCACACACAATCCCACTGACTGCGCACAGTAGTGAAGGATATATCAAGCACACTCAAAAGCTAAAAAGACCTGCAATAGTACGCGAACGTATTTAGCAGGCTTTTATCAAACCCCAACAGCTGCGAACAGTGATATAGGGCTCCAAGGCAATAATACTCATCAAACTTTTTGTAATGAAGTGTATTCATTAGTTTATTGATGGATACTCTGAAAAAACAACAGAATAATCCATAATATTGAATGCTAGTATGTTTCATAATGAATATTCTAATGTATAATATACATTATAATTCTCAATTCATAAGCACAAATGTATAGCATGAATTGAGTGTTTGCATTGAAATACTGACTGGCTAGTATGTAGAACTAGCATCAATATCATTCACAAACAGAAATATAAAACAGAAATATAAAACACCACAATTCACAGGGGCACAAGGCACCTGCACCAATTGGGTGATGAATTGAATGGTGAATACATAATTAATTCGGTTCCTACCTGTACCGGGTCTCTAGGCGAGAAAGGTAAAGAGAACGAGCCGGAAGTTAACTCGCCTTTTATAGTGCGTGACGTTCCGCTTCCGGGGTCATGGGCATGACTTTGTTTACATAAGGTCTCGAGAGAAGGCGGAACGAAGGTTATCATCCTATTAGACCGTAGTGACGGTCAGAGTGAGGTCGAAACAGATTTGCAATTTATCACAATGTGATATGTGTGATATATACAGTATTTGCATCAGAGCACCTCCATAACAGCACTTCGATGCCTACTATAAGTTCAGTACCCCCCCGACTCACCCCGAGCTAGGGGCGGGCGATATGACCAAATTCTTATTTCACGATTTGAGACATGTCATTTTATCTTATTTGTTTAAAAAAAAAGAAGCAAATTACAAAAAAGATAAATATAAATGAAACAAATTAAAAGGGTTATTTAGACAAGCAATTAGTTAACTAGGTTTTATTTTGGGCTCTTTAAATGTTGTAACTTTTACTGATTGTATACTGTTTTATTTTGTGGTTGCACTTTGTAAAGCACTTTGTGATTTTATCTGTGAAAAGTGCTCTATAAATAAACTTTACTTACTTATTTAACAGCTTCTTAGAATTAGTACAGAAATGTAATTATCAAATGTAAAAAATAGATTATTGCACAAACTTCACTGTATGAATTAAATATAAATGTGTTCTTATTAAAGCCACAATATGTATTTTTTCTGCATTAAAAATAGCAAAAATAACTGTATCTATGTTATATATTTCTATTAGATATGTACTTACATTATCCCGACAGTTTCCACCAAATTTCAAATACGGAGAAATTTATAGTTTAATTCGAAGACACGGGACGTTTCTTTATTTCCGTTTCGTCGCCCGTCTATGGCGTCATATAACCTTTGACTCCTCTATTTTCTCTAACTTCCTTGCGGAACCCGGCGAAACCGCCAAACACAAAGGGGAACACTGGACTACCGCCAATAAAGCAAAGAAAATGACGAAGAAAAAAAAGTAGTACGTATTTTTATGTGTGTAAATCACGTGCCCGCTCACGAGCGCTCACTCTTAACAGACACACTGTCCCCGGTGCTGCTCGCGCATAAAGCGCTCCCCGTTCACAGTAACCGTGTCGTCTCATTCAAAACAGCCAACTGTTGCTGTCAGCGAGCCGCGCACATTGAATACTCTTATGAGTCAGGCTGCGAATGTACGTGCCCGCTTCAGCTCTCTCATGCTTACTAAATAAACACCTCACCTCCGGCGCCGCGCACTCACTACATTCCCTTTAGCCTTTAGCACATAGTGGATGAATAACGCAAACCCAGTCAAACGTTTGACTGCAGTATCTTATGTGCTTTATAATCCGGTGCGCTCTATATATGAAAAATGTTCTAAAATAGGTCATTCATTGAAGTAGCGTAATATTAATATTTATATTCGTCTGTATAATAGTTATGGACCACGATTACGCTTTGCCTGCAAGTTCTGCTGCTACAGCCAGCTCATTAGCTAAAGCTGAAACGTACCTGAAAAATATGACCCGAGAAGGGTTTGGGACAGGAGAAGCATGACACAGGTAAACATTGGGGTTGCATTTAAAGCTTCTTGACAAGCTAAATCTACAGAGAGATGCCGTATATCCGTATATTTTGTGAAACGATGATGTCATGTCATGAGCTGAGCTGGTTGTCATTGACAGCGACAACAACTCCCGTGAGCCCACGCTCTTTCCCGACGTCATCAAAGTACGTCTTTTGTTATTATTTTAAACGAGTGACCCCTGGTGGCCAAAAATCGCATACTGTAAGTTTAAAGCTAAAAAAAGTTATTCAGTCAAGAGCAGTTATTTTCTCTTTTGTTTGATTCACGTTAATGAGACTAATATTTGGCTGCTGTCACTTTAAGCCCAAATGCACGGATCCATTATACTGATACACATGTGGTTTACACCCAACTGTTTACTTTCACTAGAGACATAATTGACTGTGTTTACATGAATACTCAACACAATGGGTATTTTGACATAATTGCATGTATTCGACCATTCAAGCGTGAAATAAGACGTGAAAGAGAACTGAATTCAAGATCACATGCTAAGAGACGCAGCTTCCTGTGCAGATGGTTACGCTGTGCTTTAGTCAGCACGTGACCACATTGAGCTCTTTTTCACTGCTTATTGTGCTTAGTAACACTTTTAACATCGAGCAAATCCCAAATTCTGAGAGAGGCAGGCTTTTCCTTTTCAGGATATATTGCGCTTATAACTCTTTCTCTTATAACTAACATCAAGCACATCACGCTCTATGTTCTCATTCATGCATTTCATCACTCTGATGTGTCAATTCACCTTTGGCTAAGCCACGCCCTAGAATGTAGATTGACCAATCACAGCGCAGCCTAGAAGGAGCTCCCACAGAGGTTGGACACTTTTTCACAGCGCTCCATTGACTTTCAACACAGGCGTCATATTTTTGGTCTCGGCAGGCTATTATCGTCATAATTTCATCAAAAATACGGTTAAACGTTGTGCCTCGGATCATTTGTAACACAGATACGTGTTTCCCAGAGAGGTTGGAGGGGGGTGTCTGTTTTTTCCTTCCCAAAAGTAAAATCCTGACAAGTGTCTTTGGATTAACGTTAAACTGTGTGGATGCCCTCAGTCAGCTAAACCCCGCAAAGATCAACAAGCACATCTTTTTTACTTCTAACCTTACTATGAGAGTGAAGTTATACTAGTTAGACCATTTTATAATGTTTTAGGTTATGATTTCGGTTCTCATACCGGTTGTTGATACACTAGCACACGCTGCTAACAAATACAACGTTATACCCGTTTGCTTTGCAATAACGATTATAGAAGTGAATAGAGACCTAACGTTACCCAGCTTTGCATGAACAGTGTTGCTCCCTGACACTGTTAGTCCCAGCCTCCATCTCGATTAGTAGGAAATGCGATGGTTCATTTTTTTTGACTGTGACCAGTAACGTTATGCTTTTGCCTCTATTTTGGATGGCGTGTTGTTTCTTGCGTTTTCACCTGTATGTCTTGAATATAGCCTCCGAACGCATATTGCAGCCCCTTTTGCCTACTTCTATTGGACACTTTATTTGCTGCTTTATAAAAGTTTGATAACGTTTCAGCAGGAAGAGCTGTCACTGCATAAGCCACGCAAAGCGCAGATGAAGTTTGACGGATGTAGCAACAGTAACTAAGGGGGGTGGGGCTTAGCCAAAGGTGAATAGTGCTATATTCTACATACTGCGACTTCTCCCATCTCTACTGTAATGTATGAATGTGTTCAGTATATGCTGAGATGCACATGGTTAACTTACATCTTTTTCACCGTAATTGAGGGAGTACCATTTTTCCTCTTTTCCTTCGAATACAAAAGGGTTTGCATAGACTTCATAAAACTGTTTGAGTTGACTGAAGAAGCTGCTGAGGTTGATTTTGCTCCAGTTTCTCAGGAGGTCAAAGATAGTTTCCAGCATGACTGTCCCAGCGATTTCTCTTCCCTCTATTATACCTTTCCTTTGATCAGACCAAAAGACTTCTTTCAACCGTTTCACCTTAGATGGTTCAGCACAGATTATATCGTCATACTGATGCCATTCCCCTGCAATATACCACAAGAACAAATTAGGTCAGGTCAAAATAAATAAATAAATCAAAACTTGAATGACTTTAAATGAGCTTCATACCTTCATCATTGAGAAAACGTGGTTTGACAAACAGGCATCTGTTAGTGGTCTCTTTTGAATCCAGTTTGTAGATGTATTCGTACTCATACTTCTGCTTTTTTTCTCTATAGACAACATACTTGTATGGGATGGACACAGTTTCGACACTGGCCTTTTTGCATACAAATTTCCCTTCAACAAGAAATCCATGCTCTTCAAGATCCCTGAAATGAAACCTTTTTTAAGCATCTGACAATACAGTAGTAATGCATGATCAATAATTGGTCCAGAAAATCTTTAGCCAACTAACCGTGACACAGACAGTTCTGTCAGGTTATTTTCCCAGTCACCCATGCGACCACCAGCCCTTATGAAGACACGATCCTCGTCTAAGTTAAACTTGAAGTCTTTTGACAGGACCGCATGAAAGTAAATGGTAAGTCTGTCACTGGAACTTATATGCTGAGTTGGTGTTGGATTTCTGCAATTAAAAAAATATTGATAAGATCAGTGTTGTCAAAGTAACATTTCAGTGTTCAATACCAGTAAAACTGCATTATTTTCGGTACCAATTTTGATACCATAGCAAAAACCTATATAAAAATAAGAATATTCAATAGAAAAATAATGATTAATGCAAACAATAATTATAAGTATGTTAGCATGTAGTATTTTTAATTTATGTAAACATTGCTTTAAAAATGTCAAGTGAAAAGGCATTTAATTAAACCTATTAGGCCAACAGATTTGTTTTTCTTTCTCTGCATTTACACTTCGAGAATTAATGCACATTTATTTTGACATTTTAGAATTTTTCGTTTTGTTTTGTTCGTTGCCATGTAAATCATCACAATTTTGTTAGTGCTACTTGCAATATTAATTTTGTGGTCTCCAACCCAAAACTTTGCAATGGCAGGTTTTTGATATTAGAAATGAATCAAGAAAAATCGTCAGTGATTCAACAAAAAACTCTTGTGCACGTGTGATTCCCCTGCGGTTTCATCAATCTGGAGATCTTCAGCAAGGAAGAATAGCATGCACTCGTGCAAAAAACAAACATCCAGGCCCATGATTATCGGCCTGTTCACATCGGCTCTATTTTGACATCGGAACCATACCCGATGTGTAAAAAATGACCATATCGGCTGATATTAGCGGCCGATATATCGTGCACCAGCTACCCTGACTAGGGTTGAATCTGCATACCTTTTTGAAGGTGCATCATTCTGACTTTTTGTATCACCACTTTCATTATTTTTGTGGAGGGCAGCAGAATCGTTCTTCCCTTGGGGAGATGGCTGCTGCTTCTGATCCACCTTCACTGCTGAACCGCCACTGGATCCGTCGTTCTTCTAAATGCAAAATAAACAGAAAGAGTCAACATTTCCTACCTAGAGTGTGTAATTTCCAGTAACAGACCAATATGTCAGTTTGGCCTAAGAATCAAATTTGGGCTCTCTGAGATTATCAGCGCCTGATTAGCCAATGATTTAGAGGTTTCTTAGGCCAGTTCCCAAATTTACTGGTAACACTTTACAAATATAGCTGCAAGCAGCAATTACCGGGGCCAAGCGCAAGAAGCGGCAACATATGCCAAAATGGCAAGGAGTGGCAGACCAACTGCAGCAAGGAGCAATTAAGGGCATTTTGAGAGAACTTTGGGCAAATGGCTAAGAAAATCCCATAAACATTAACTTATAAGATGATTTAATGGGTTATCACTTTCGAACAATAGGTGGCGCAGTTACAAAATAGATGTGATGTGGTCAGAGTGAGGTGACAATGACACATGCAAAGTTTGGTGTCAAAATGTGAAGGCATTGCAGAGATAAAGCCTAAATAGTCATTTTGGCAGCATGCCTCAAATTTGATGCTGTGGTATACGAAAACGGTTTTGTCTATCGTCACGCAATCCATAACTTTTATTTGGCACTGTCTGGAGATGATACGATTCAATTTTCGTGAAAATCGGACAAACGGTCTAGGAGGAGTTTGAAAAAGAAGGTTTTTCAAAGAAATAAAGATGGCGAACAGGACGTTTGTCTGATTATGGAAAACCTGATATCTATGTTTTCGGCATAACCCAAGGAATCTATTAAGATCAGTTTCATTGCAATAGGCAAATTTATTCAAAAGTTATTAGCGTTCTCAGAAATTAATTATAACTTTTGACCAACAGGTGGCGCTGTCTCAAAATCTTTTGAGTACCTTCAGGGCATGCTGCTTATGGCACACACTGAGTTTTGTAATATTACACCAATGCATTTGTTTAGTATAGCATTTTATTTCACAAAACTCTATTGAAGTCAATGGGAATTTCACGTTTTGTTCTATTATAGCGCCACCAAGAGGCTCAGTCCCACAATTTTTTTTATGTGTCCTCAGAGTGACCCCATACATATGTGTGTCAATTTTGGTGCAAATATCTCAATTCACTTCCGAGTTATAAACATTTATATGAAAAAACACGTAAAAAATGACTGACACATGACTTTGTTTGAATTTTACTACCCCTTACTATCAATATTTTCGCATTTGGGCATTAGCGTTTAGTTAACAAGCTATGATTCCGTGTTTCTGGCGGTGGTTTCGTCTCGATCGGAACAGCGGTTTTGAAGATATCGCCAAGTGTTTTTTTCGCGCTAAATCGCTACGCTACACCAACCGTAACACGAAACCCAGCATGTTTAGTATCGTTGGACTCGGCAACGATTCAGGAACTCAAAAAGATGACTCCCGTGAAAATAAGTGTACCACACCCAAAGTTATAAGCGTTTGAAAAAAAAAATTCACCACTAGGTGGCGCTGTTTCGAAACTTCTCAGGCTCCTTCAGGGCATCGTACTGATGACCCATACCGAGTTTCGTAACAATTCGTTCATGCGTTCAAAAAATACAGCATTTTAGCACATAATTCAAAATGGCCGACAGCCAAAATGGCCGATCTGGGAAAATTGGATATCAGTCGACTCGGCATGATGCCCTGAATCTAACGAGATGAAGTTTATGATTTTTGGACAAACCGTTCAGAAGTTACGAGCAAAAATAGCCATTTTTCATATCTCCGGACCACTAGGTGGCGCTGCGCCGAAACGCAGCACGTAGCCTCAGGTCATGCTTGTGATGACACGTACCAAGTTTGGTCTGAAAACGAGTAAGCGTTGCGGAGATACAGCCTCACGTCTGTTTTCGCAAGCGCTACGTAAAATTAGTTTGCGCGTTTATCGAAAACGGTTATTCGAATCATCTTGAATTCCATAACTTTTTGTCAGCACTGCCTGGAGATGATCCGGTGCGATTTTGGTGAAAATCGGACAAACCGTCTAGGACGAGTTCGCAAAAGTAGGTTTTTTGGAAAATTCAAAATGGCGGCCGTTTTTTTATGACGGAAAATGACGTCATAGGGTGCGATCGAATCGGCATGAGCTCAGGAACAAGAGGAAAAAAGAATTTTGTTGATAGGCCTTACGGTTCAAAAGTTATTAGCATAATAAAAGTGAAACTTTGGACAGTTGGTGGCGCTAGAGGGAATGAGTTAGAGACACCAAAATTGGTGTATTTAAAGTTGGGACTGTCCTCTATCAGAATGTCAAACCAAAACAACTTTCCCGCAAACCGGTCTATGGGCTGCCATAGACGCCCAGTCGGAAGAAGAATAATAATAATAAATATAGCTGCAAGCAGCCATTACCGGGGCCAAGCGCAAGAAGCGGCAACATATGCCAAAATGGCAAGGAGTGGCAGACCAACTGCAGCAAGGAGCAATTAAGGGCATTTTGAGAGAACTTTGGGCAAATGGCTAAGAAAATCACATAAACATTAACTTATAAGATGATTTAATGGGTTATCACTTTCGAACAATAGGTGGCGCAGTTACGAAATAGATGTGATGTGGTCAGAGTGAGGTGACAATGACACATGCAAAGTTTGGTGTCAAAATGTGAAGGCATTGCAGAGATAAAGCCTAAATAGTAATTTTGGCAGCATGCCTAAATTTGATGCTGTGGTATACGAAAACGGTTTTGTCTATCATCGTGCAATTCATAACTTTTAGTCGGCACGGTCTGGAGATGATACGATTCAATTTTCGTGAAAATCGGACAAACGGTCTAGGAGGAGTTCGAAAAAGAAGGTTTTTCAAAGAAATAAAGATGGCGGACAGGAAGTTTGTCTGATTATGGAAAACCTGATATCTATGTTTTCGGCATAACCCAAGGAATCTATTAAGATCAGTTTCATTGCAATAGGCAAATTTATTCAAAAGTTATTAGCGTTCTCAGAAATTAATTATAACTTTTGACCAACAGGTGGCGCTGTCTCAAAATCTTTTGAGTACCTTCAGGGCATGCTGCTTATGGCACACACTGAGTTTTGTAATATTACACCAATGCATTTGTTTAGTATAGCATTTTATTTCACAAAACTCTATTGAAGTCAATGGGAATTTCACGTTTTGTTCTATTATAGCGCCACCAAGAGGCTCAGTCCCACAATTTTTTTTATGTGTCCTCAGAGTGACCCCATACATATGTGTGTCAATTTTGGTGCAAATATCTCAATTTACTTCCGAGTTATAAACATTTATATGAAAAAACACGTAAAAAATGACTGACACATGACTTTGTTTGAATTTTACTACCCCTTACTATCAATATTTTCGCATTTGGGCATTAGCGTATAGTTAACAAGCTATGATTCCGTGTTTCTGGCGGTGGTTTCGTCTCGATCGGAACAGCGGTTTTGAAGATATCGCCAAGTGTTTTTTTCGCGCTAAATCGCTACGCTACACCAACCGTAACACGAAACCCAGCATGTTTAGTATCGTTGGACTCGGCAACGATTCAGGAACTCAAAAAGATGACTCCCGTGAAAATAAGTGTACCACACCCAAAGTTATAAGCGTTTGAAAAAAAAAATTCACCACTAGATGGCGCTGTTTCGAAACTTCTCAGGCTTCTTCAGGGCATCGTACTGATGACCCATACCAAGTTTCGTAACAATTCGTTCATGCGTTCAAAAAATAGAGCATTTTAGCACATAATTCAAAATGGCCGACAGCCAAAATGGCCGATCTGGGAAAATTGGATATCAGTCGACTCGGCATGATGCCCTGAATCTAACGAGATGAAGTTTATGATTTTTGGACAAACCGTTCAGAAGTTACGAGCAAAAATAGCCATTTTTCATATCTCCGGACCACTAGGTGGCGCTGCGCCGAAACGCAGCACGTAGCCTCAGGTCATGCTTGTGATGACACGTACCAAGTTTGGTCTGAAAAAGAGTAAGCGTTGCGGAGATACAGCCTCACGTCGGTTTTCGCAAGCGCTACGTAAAATTTGTTTACGCGTTTATCGAAAACGGTTATTCGAATCATCTTGAATTCCATAACTTTTTGTCAGCACTGCCTGGAGATGATCCGGTGCGATTTTGGTGAAAATCGGACAAACCGTCTAGGACGAGTTCGCAAAAGTAGGTTTTTTGGAAAATTCAAAATGGCGGCCGTTTTTTTATGACGGAAAATGACGTCATAGGGTGCGATCGAATCGGCATGAGCTCAGGAACAAGAGGAAAAAAGAATTTTGTTGATAGGCCTTACGGTTCAAAAGTTATTAGCATAATAAAAGTGAAACTTTGGACAGTTGGTGGCGCTAGAGGGAATGAGTTAGAGACACCAAAATTGGTGTATTTAAAGTTGGGACTGTCCTCTATCAGAATGTCAAACCAAAACAACTTTCCCGCAAACCGGTCTATGGGCTGCCATAGACGCCCAGTCGGAAGAAGAATAATAATAATAAATATAGCTGCAAGCAGCCATTACCGGGGCCAAGCGCAAGAAGCGGCAACATATGCCAAAATGGCAAGGAGTGGCAGACCAACTGCAGCAAGGAGCAATTAAGGGCATTTTGAGAGAACTTTGGGCAAATGGCTAAGAAAATCACATAAACATTAACTTATAAGATGATTTAATGGGTTATCACTTTCGAACAATAGGTGGCGCAGTTACAAAATAGATGTGATGTGGTCAGAGTGAGGTGACAATGACACATGCAAAGTTTGGTGTCAAAATGTGAAGGCATTGCAGAGATAAAGCCTAAATAGTCATTTTGGCAGCATGCCTCAAATTTGATGCTGTGGTATACGAAAACGGTTTTGTCTATCGTCACGCAATCCATAACTTTTATTTGGCACTGTCTGGAGATGATACGATTCAATTTTCGTGAAAATCGGACAAACGGTCTAGGAGGAGTTCGAAAAAGAAGGTTTTTCAAAGAAATAAAGATGGCGAACAGGACGTTTGTCTGATTATGGAAAACCTGATATCTATGTTTTCGGCATAACCCAAGGAATCTATT